GCTTAGTGGTGTTTAGCAGGGCTAGGAGCAACCATAGCACTTCCTGATAGGTCTGTGGGTGTAACCCAAAACAAACAGTGACTGCATTCCCACTTTCGTTTATTGTGGGCACAGGCGCTTCCAGTGTTGGGTTTTTTATCTGTGTTCACAAGATGTTATCCAAAATGCATGTACTGTGCATTCTGTACTTTGTTGTGAAATGCTACTTTTTGGGGAGCTGTGGTCTAAACTACTGAGCCTCTTGGACTTGCCAATCAGAAGGTCGCCGGTTCAAATTCCCGTGACAGGGTGAGCTCCCGTTGCTCTATCGCAGCTCCTGCCAACCTAGCCGTTCGAAAGCATGCCAGTGCAAATAGATAAATAGGTACCGCTGCGGTGGGAAGATAAACAGTGTTTCCGTGCGTTCTGGTTTCCATCACGGTGTTCTGTTGCGCCAGAAGTGGTTTAGTCATTCATGCTGGCCACATGACCCAGAAAGCTGTCTGTGCTGTCTGGCTCCCTCGGCCTGAAAGCAAGATGAGCACTGCAACCCCATAGTCACCTTTAACTGGACTTAACCGTCCCGGGGTCCTTTACCTTTTACTGTTTGATGCATTGATTCTCAAAGCAGCTTCACACTGATTGGCTGGAGACAAAATAGGAACAGCTTAAGGATTCCCATGGGTAAAAACACCCTTACCCTGTCAACACCCTGGTGTACACAAAAGCAGAAATGAATCTGACACAAATTAAGCATTGTTGATGTGAACAGCTGGGGTGGGGAGAAGCACCTTGAAACTGGAAAATACTATAGCTTCACTGCACTCTTATGATGGTAATCTGAGCACACCCGCAGTTTCAAAGAAAGAGCAGATAGCCCCCAGCCTTTGAAACTCCCTCCCAGGGAGATACATACGGTCTTGTTACTGTTGGCTTAAAGAAAAGACCACCAAAAAACCAACCTCTGAATACATTTTTATTCTAGTTTGTATTTGGTTGAATATGTGCAGTACTTAGGAAACAACAACCAGGTAAGGTTGTTGTTCCAGGTAAGGATATATAGGACTGCAGCCTTAATTTTGAAGATGGCAATTGGCTGTGCAAATGTATAGGCAGTTCTCAAAGGGTGGTTCTCAAAGGGTGTGTAGCGCCACCAGTGCAGGATTTATGTATAGGCTAAGTAGGGAGCCTCGTCTGCCCACCCGCTCCCTAGCAGGCAGTCTCCCCTCTCCCAAAATTGCAAACCCAAGGCTTCATGCGAGGGCAGAGCAACTCGGGCCTCTAAATCTAGGGGGCCTCACCAGCTTGCCCTCTCCCTAGTGCCTCAGTCTCCCCTCTCCCAAAATTGTAAACCCAAGACTTCATGCAAGGGCAGGGCAACTCAAGGCTAGCCAGTGGGGTCCAATTTGAAGCAGTGGGGCACAACTTATAGGGCTCCAGTTCACAGCCAAAGTCTGCAAAATCTTATAGATATAAATAAAATCCATCTAGATTGCCCTGGTGCGGGGGCCCCCTTAGGAGCAGCCCACGGGGCCCAATTTGGCCAAATTGCTCCAATTGCCTTAAGGTCAGCCCTGATGAGACTGTGCAGGGGTTGGACTGACAAGCCCTGCACCTTCTAGGTCCCTGGTGTCACTATTCAGAGTACAGACTCAAGGACTTGTTATAGAAATAAAGGGAGGGGGCACTTACTGGAAATCAGTTTTGTCACCTCTTCTCCCCCAAACCCTGAGACAATGAGCCCAGCCACCTTTTATTCACAATCGCATAAGCACTACACTACAGTATGGCCATAACCTGTACGTTTAACCGCTGAAATATACACCCAATATGTAGCAATGGAGATTTATGTTACTGCTTTATGAATGAACACTGTGTTTTATGAATGGACTCTATATTTTGTGAATTACCCAAGAGCCACCAATAGGGAGCTCTAGAATCTGATGGCTAACCAATTGGGTACTACCAAACAGTAGTACCTATTGCTGAAAGCAGGTAACCAGCAGGGAATGCTTCAGCTCAGCCTTTGCACTGTTGACTGAACACCCCCTGCTGTGCAGATAATGAGAAAGCTTGTAAATTGTATCCCTTCTGGCATCCTGGCCAACTCTATAACACTGGTGTAAACCCTGGTGCACCAGAAGCCCAGAATAGCCACAAATAAAATCCACTCATATATCAGCAACTGATAAGACTTGTCAACCAGTTCTTCCAAAGTCTTCCTAAATTATAAAGCTCCAAAATACAGGCCAAAAGAGAGCAGGTCTGGGAAGAGCGAGGCATACAATGGGCACCATCAGTGAAAAGGCCCTGCTCCGTATAGCTCCTGTCCTGTCATTTGATAGGGTGCCCACTTGCCCTCCTTCTTAACATTGAATGCTCTCTATTGGAGTCTTCAGGTCCTGTACAAAGGCCATAAGAAGGGACAGCAGGGTCTGGCAGGAGAGGCTGGCAAGTGTTGCAGGAAGATTCAAGGGCAATCAAAGAAACATTTAAGCATTGCAGGATAGTCTTAGTCTAGTGTTATATATTTATATCCAGAAGCAGTATCTATGCCTCTTCAAGAATACCATCTATTCTTCTACAGTTCTCAATATCTCTTTGTGAACTGAGATTTTCAACCAACAAATATGAAAGACTGGAAATGTTTCTTTGTGTTGATGAGTTTGTCTTAAATTAGACCTAGTGTATATATGAGATTACCATAATAAAGGACAAAAGTGGTAAGGACCTAAGAGAAGCAGAAGACATCAAGAAGAGGTGGCAAGAATACACAGAGGAATTATACCAGAAAGATATGGATGGCTCGTACACCCCAGGTAGTGTGGTTGCTGACCTTGAGCCAGACATCCTGGAGAGTGAAGTCAAATGGGCCTTAGAAAGCACTGCAAATAACAAGGCCAGTGGAAGTGATGGTATTCTAGCTGAATTATTTAAAATTTTAAAAGATGATGCTGTTAAGGTGCTACACTCAATATGCCAGCAAGTTTGGAAAACTCAGCAGTGGCCAGAGGATTGGAGACGATCAGTCTACATCCCAATCCCAATCCCAAAGAAGGACAGTGCCAAAGAATGCTCCAACTACCGCACAATTGCATTCATTTCACACGCTAGCAAGGTTATGCTTAAAATTCTACAAGGAAGGCTCAAGCTGTATGTGGACCGAGAACTCCCAGAAGTGCAAGCTGGATTTAGAAGAGGCAGAGGAACCAGAGACCAAACTGCAAACATGTGCTGGATTATGGAGAAAGCTAGAGAGTTCCACAAAAATGTCTACTTCTGCCTCATTGACTATTCAAAAGCCTTTGACTGTGTCGACCACAGCAAACTATGGCAAGTTCTTAAAGAAATGGGAGTGCCTGATCACCTCCTCTGTCTCCTGAGAAATCTCTATGTGGGACAAGAAGCTACAGTTAGAACTGGATATGGAACAACTGATTGGTTCAAAATTGGGAAAGGAGTACGACAAGGCTGTATATTGTCTCCCGGCTTATTTAACTTATATGCAGAATTCATCATGCAAAAGGCTAGGCTGGATGAATCCCTAGCCAGAATTAAGATTGCCGGAAGAAATATCAACAACCTCAGATATGCAGATGATACAACCTTGATGGCAGAAAGTGAGGAGGAATTAAAGAACCTTTTATTGAGGGTGAAAGAGGAGAGCGCAAAATATGGTCTAAAGCTCAACATCAAAAAAAACGAAGATCATGGCCACTGGTCCCATCACCTCCTGGCAAATAGAAGGGGAAGAAATGGAGGCAGTGAGAGATTTTACTTTCTTGGGCTCCATGATCACTGCAGATGATGACAGCAGTCACGAAATTAAAAGACGCCTGCTTCTTGGGAGAAAAGCAATGACAAACCTAGACAGCATCTTAAAAAGTAGAGACATCACCTTGCCAACAAAGGTCCGTATAGTTAAAGCTATGGTTTTCCCAGTAGTGATGTATGGAAGTGAGAGCTTGACCATAAAGAAGGCTGATCGCAGAAGAATTGATGCTTTTGAATTATGGTGCTGGAGGAGACTCTTGAGTCCCATGGACTGCAAGAAGATCAAACCTATCCATTCTGAAGGACATCAGCCCTGAGTGCTCACTGGAAGAACAGATCGTGAAGCTGAGGCTCCAATACTTTGGCCACCTCATGAGAAGAGAAGACTCCCTGGAAAAGACCTGATGTTGGGAAAGATGGAGGGGACAAGGAGAAGGGGATGACAGAGGACGAGATGGTTGGATAGTGTTCTCGAAGCTACCAGCATGAGTTTGAACAAACTGGAGGGGGGAATGAAAGACAGGAGTGCCTGGCGTGCTCTGGTCCATGGGGTCACGAAGAGTCGGACACGACTAAACGACTAAGCAACAACAATATATGAGATTACCCAGCAAAAGCTCACACCTCTCATTGAGTCTGTATACATACTTAATGTACACATATTAAGAGGCTAGTTCTTATTAAGCTACATTGCTTTAAGGCTTCCTGGATGCCCTGTGATCATATTATAAAGTGGATGCATTCTACGTCATAAACCAAGCACTTCTAGTTGATGTTTATTTTTGTTTTCCAATGTATTTCCTTATCGATTAAAAAAAAAATTCAAATTTTAATTTTGAAAGCATGGCCAAGAAAAAGAAATTTTGAGAACCACTGGCTTAGCATCTTCAGACCTAGATGCGTGTTAAAATTAAAATTAACGTGCTCATTGGATTGGATCCCAAACAAAGTACAGTATCTGCCTTGTCATCACCAGGGTGGGGAGACGAAAAAAAACTGTCCTCTGTTGTGGACGAGCAACAGTTAAAACTATCGGCAACACAAGCCTAACCACGCCCACTCGAAGCAGGGAAGGCCCGCTGAAGTCAAAGTGTAACAGGCGTGGTGACGCTTGCCAGCACTACGACACCGCGCCGCGCATGCGTAGCAACGACTCCACCCGCCTCGCCTCGCCTCAACTTCCTCCTTCTGGCTTGGCGCCGTTCCTCGTCCTATTGGCCGTCGCGGGCGCACAGCCATGACGTCAACAGGGCGTCACGGAAGCGGAAGAGCCCTTCGCTTCCTTTCTCCGGCCGGCTGTGGGATTCGCTTGCGGAAGTAGCGTGAGGGGTTTCTTTTAATCGTCGTTTGGCGGCGGCTTCCTTGCATAGCCGGTATACAGGCGAGAGGGGGGAGAAAAGCGCGAATTGTCAACGTAACTTTGTCCTCTCTCTGTTTCCGTTTCCCCGGGAAAAACCGTCCCCGTCAGCCCCCGCCCATCATGGCGGCCACATCCAACCTGCAGGTGAGCACCTGGCGCGGGGGTTGTTGGGCGCGTGACGGGGAGCCGCGCCGGAATTCCGAAGTGTGTAGGGAAGGCGAGGCAGGGAGGGCGAGGGAAGGAGTCCTTCCGTGAGGCGGCTCACCTTGACTCGGGCTACATGGACGGTTACCTCTTAACTGACAGGAGTCCTTGGTTCCTACGAGGAAAAGAGCCTCCGTGTTTCCCTCCCTCTTAAGCAGCACGACGTGGGAACGAACAGCAGGGGGAAACGCTCCGCCTCGCCTCACCTGACCTGCCAGCGCCCCGGAAGCGTCTCTTTCTCTCTCTCTCTCTCTCTCTCTCTTGGAGCTGTCAGGATGGTGGCTGGCTGCTGAGCTACTACTGCTTCGGCCTTGGCCTCACACAGCGAGTCGTGGAATTGAAAGGGACCCTGAGGATCATCTAGGCCAGAGCTTTCCAAAACTAATCGCGATTATTATTACAGTGGTACCTCGGTTACGTTTCAGGTTATAGACTCCGCTAACCCAGAAATAGTGCTTCAGGTTAAGAACTTTGCTTCAGGATGAGAACAGAAATCGTGCTCCGGTGGCGCAGTGGCAGCAGTAGGCCCCATTAGCTAAAGTGGTGCTTCAGGTTTCAGTTTCAGGTTAAGTACGGACCTCCGGACCGAATTAAGTACTTAACCTGAGGTACCACTGTATTGCTTTTTTAAAAGACCTTCATCATTTCCTTCATCATTTCGCGACACAGCAGTTCGGTTTGGCTAGCAAACCCGAGGTGAAACTAACCCCCTTTCCAGGAAGCGCTCTCGCGACATGCCTGCATGCTGCCGCCAGCACACTTAACATATTGCAACACACAGTTTGGAAAGCTCTGATCTAGTCCAACCCCCTGCGGTGCAAGAATGTGCAGCTGTCCCCATACAAGGATTGAACCAGCAGTATTGGCATTATCAGTGCCACACTGTAACCCAGCTGAGCTATCCAGACACCGCCTTGGGAGAAGCACTGGGGTGCCTCTGGGCATGTGCAGAATGCATTTCCGTTGCTGCGGAGGCAGCACTGCGTTCTTAATCTATTTTGTTAGTTTCTTTACTTAGAGAATCCTGGAATTGTAGTATTGGAAGGGGCCGCAAGGGTCATCTTGCCCAGCTCCTTGCAATGCAGGAATTTGTCACCCATCGTGGGGCTCAAACCCACAACCCTGAGATAGAGTCTCATGCTCTACTGAGCTCAAGGTGGCATGTGCTCTTCTCCCCCTCTCTTTTATTCTCACAGGAACCCTGTGAGGTAGGTTAGGAGAATCACTGTTTAACCATGGTTTTAAGGCCTTGGTTATACAATAAAAACTAGCTGGACAAATAATTTTTATCTGACGGGCAGAGCAATGCAATCCCATTTGTGTCCATCTCCATGTGTGTTGCATTAAACAGACATGATTATCTGCTGGCCCTGCCACCCTTGCTATGAAATGGTGTCGGTGTGACTCCCCAGGCACAGATCTCCCCCCTGCTACTTACAGACCATGTGGGTAGAAGTGATGTCAGTGAAGAGCTTTGTGCAAAACTTCTCAAACACCTGACAACTAGTTGAATGCTTAGCATTTGAGAAATGCTGTGCAGAGAGCTTAGGAAGCTTTTTGAACTATGTCCTCCACCTCAGTGGGTCAACTGTGGTAAGTCACCTGATGCCAGATGCTTGACAGATGGTTGGTCCCATGCACTACAGATAAATCTCTGCAGATAAATATCTACAGATACTACAGATAAATATCTGGACCACTTGGCTAAAAGGTTCCCAAACCCCTGATGTAACCTCTGCCACCTGCCCCCTTACATAATCTGCACATAATTTGTAGGTTTCATTTCTATTGTGCAATATCTCATACACTGCAGGAACTAGAGAGTAGATAAATTGCCATTTTGTCTTATTTGCGCAGATGTTTTGTTGACATTTTCTTGCATACAACTTGAAAGAGCAGATATGTGATGGGTTGACTTTCAGGCTCTTAAATTTTTGTTTACTAATGTAGTTTCTCAGTTTCATTTGTTGGAAAGTAAGTAGCTTAGGGATTCACTAGTCATTTATCCTAATTCAAGATTTCAGTGCATGTATTTTTGTTTCTTGGTAACTTTGGAGAAAATCTTTGTACACTCGCAGAAAGACCATAGCTCAAAATACATGATATTGGTATGGCTTTATTTGGATTACTTTATCCAGGTGTAACATACATTTTCTGTACTCACCTATAGTCCTGTGTAATATACTAAGTAATGTTTTATGCAGTGGAAGTTTTTCTGTAATTGTGTGAAGTGTCTGAACATTTCTGAAAGCAATTTTGGGCACAATTGTATCCACAAAGACACACCCCAATTTTTTTGCAGTGTTTTTAAAAAGATCTGCATTAATAAATGCTAAGAATTTCTAGCACACTTAATTTACATGTGCACAGATATTGAAATACCTTGTGTGGTGCATAAGCCATTTCCATCTTAGTGGGAAGCATTACGTCCATGGTAATTTGTGTTGCCCATAGCTTGGCAGCTCCTTGTAACTGTCCTCTCAAAGGGAACAAAACACCTATCTCTAAAATGCCTACTTTCCAAGTGGCGTGTTTAAACTCTGAAATCATAATGAAGATAATAGCCTGGAGCCTAAGAGAAATAAATGGAAGAAAGTTCATGAAAGAGAAGTACCACATCTGTTGCTCCCTACCCACTGGAGTAATCAGAGCAGACCCATGGAAATTTAAGTTACATGGATTTCAGTGGGTCGACACTGCTAGTTGGATTATTATTTTATTCTTTTTATTTATTAAATTTGTATACCGCCCTTATACCCGTTGGTCAGGCATAGGCAAACTCAGCCCTCCAGATGTTTTGGGAGTATAACTCCCATCATCCCTAGCTAACAGGACCAGTGTTCAGGTATGATGGGAGTTGTAGTCCCAAAATATCTGGAGGGCCGAGTTTGCCTATGCCTGCCGTAGGTTTTAGGGTTGTTCACAACACAGGTTACAATATAAAAGCACAAAATACATAATACAAAATTAAAACAATTAACAATACTGATGTATACAAACTAATAAAAATACACTCCCCAACAAAAGTTTCATGCTGTATCATGCTATATTTAAAGTTTCACTGGTCTCATGTTTGTTTCTATTAGTATTGTGCAAATCATCTCCATGAGATGCTTTTGGACACAGGAATGACTCCCAAGAGTGATTCTGTGGCTTTTAATTGTAATGTGATAACTGTTTAAATTGTACTGAATACAGGTAATTATCCACAGAACTGCAAAACTAGCTTGGAGCATCTAAGGGGGCTTTATTTCTCCTGTCCAATGTGGCAAAAAACATTTTTTTTACTGTGGAGAGTTTCAAAAGCAGTGTGTAATATTGTATGGTTAGGGTCTAATGTATATAGGGGAGGGAGTCAAAACTCCCACTATGAGCACACAGATCCTTGGGTTTGCCTGTGGGGATGTTCTTCAATATTAATTAATTTTATAATGAATGATTTTAGAGTGTTGTTTGTGCTGTACTTTTGTACTGTTTTATTGTTGTTAGCCGCCCTGAGCCCGGCTTCGGCTGGGGAGGGTGGAATATAAATAAAATTTATTATTATTACTATTATTATTTGAAATAAGAACTACTTGTGCGACAATTTGGCAAAGCACTAGAAATAAGATAAATGTCCTTGGATGTAAGTAAATGGTTAAATGCTTAAGCACTTGGGGGGGGAGAGCCTTATTCAAGGTTTCTTACAATCCCCATAATGGATGAATGCAATATTAATAGTTGGTAGAGAAATAAATATATGGGTAACAAAGTTTCTATTTTAATCTATTGTTTTAATTGGGAACAGTCCCAAATCACAGTCCTTGGCTTAGAGTTGATATAAAGTTGGAATCATTGTTTTTCTCGAAAGAAACCATAATCTGAAGACTTATTTTTGGCCTACCTAGCAGGGAGAAGTGAAACGGAAGTGAGGTTCACAATACAGCATTAACCATGGCTTACTGTAGCATTCTAATCCAGCCAGTATAAAGCCTCTTGACTATTTGAAAATGAAGGTGTCATTTCAGCATATAATGCAGTCCTATTGTCTTCTTGCATTCCCATATTACAAACACTTAGGGTTAACTTATTTAATTGTTTTAACCTTAATCGTGTTTCTTTCTTTTCCTTTTAAACAGAAAGCAATAGACCTTGCTAGCAAGGCAGCACAAGAAGATAAAGCAGGAAACCTTGAGGAAGCCCTCCGCTTGTATCAACATGCTGTACAGTATTTTCTTCACGTTGTCAAATGTAAGAATTACCACGTTAAGTATAAGTAGATGAGATTTTTATGTTTTTAAACATTCCTTCACATTCTTGGAAATTACAGCAGTAGGTTCCAAATTACATGCCATGGTCTTGCTAATGACATTTTGATCATAAATTAAATCAGTTAATTGGGACTCAGAAAGGGAAATGGAGATCTTTTGGAAGACTGACCCTTCAGTCTTATATAAATGGAAGGCTAATGACCGGTGATGATGTATTTGGAAACTGAACCTCTGCACTGAGAAAACTGAGTACTGTACAAAACTAGTCATACTAATTGCCTCAGAAGATAATGCATTCTGTGCACTAAAATAAAAAAAGGAGCACCTGGAGAGGGTAATTGTGACTATAACATTTTTTGTTATTTATAGGGAGGGAGGGGATGTCTAATTATGGTTTGTTGTTCTGTGCCTTGGATTATAACGCAAAACAAAATACTTTCCATTCTCAGATGAAGCACAGGGTGACAAAGCAAAACAAAGCATCAGAGCAAAGTGTACTGAGTATCTAGACAGAGCAGAAAAGCTGAAAGAGCATTTGAAAAAGAAAGAAAAAGCTCCCCTCAAACCAGTGAAAGAATCTGGTTCTACTGATGAAAAAGGGTATGTTAGTTTCATGTACTACAACATTCTCCAAGTTTGCTTGTTTAATGCTTTCAGTGGTGGTGGAACAGTGCGTGGAAAACACCATATTTCAAGACCCGTGGGCCTACAGATTATTTTATGACCTGGTCATCACACTTTCTATATTAGATACTAAAAGTAGTAGAGTTAAATGATACAACATGGTATCTGTTTTAAGCATCCATTCTTTCTTGGGATGAAACAGGAATGGCAGGAAGAAAATTGTATTCAAATAGGTATCATTCAGCCCACTTCACTCACTACTTCCCCATTTTGAGGGCAGTGAAGCACAAGCCTCATACTGGGTAGGGAGCTCCCTCAGGGACATAACTTTCAATGACTGTGTGGTTCTTTCCTGCATCAGCAGTTTCTGTGCTATAGCCACAGACTTCCTTACTGAAAAGGAAGTGCATGGAAAAATTAAAGGGCTTGCCTTCCACAGCATGTTGGTGATCAGGGGTTCCAAGGACTATTGTGTGCTGACACGTCCTATATTACTTTTGCTCTAAGTTCTCTTTCATAAAACTATTTTACAGCAAGATTCTATCTTGTGCGGGGGTTATGTTCGTGGGATGGCACTTATACGGAAAAATGTGTATACTGAAGCCATCATCTTGGAACTGTCCCTGCATGAACATTCTTACCCTATCCAGAGCCATGTGCTAAGTGGCCTTACCAGACTCTGGGATGCTGTCATGAGATCTTATGGGGCCATCCAAGTTCCCATGAGGTCTCATGAGACCCTCCTGGAGCCCGGTAAGCAAGTCTTAGAGCTTGAAAGCTCTTTCTGCAAAACAAGCTTTTTAAGCTCTTCCTTCCATGCATTTAACTTGTGTGAAATTCAACCAGCTGACCTTCAACCTCGTAAAGTTGAAACCACACATGTTAAATGTGCATAAGTTATACAGTGGTACCTCGGGTTACAGACACTGCTTACCTGGAAGTAGTACCTTGGGTTAAGAACTTTGTCCCAGGATGAGAACAGAAATCATGTGTTGGCGGCGCGACAGCAGCGGGAGGCCCCATTAGCTAAAGTGGTACCTCAGGTTAAGAACGGTTTCAGGTTAAGAACGGACCTCCGGAACGAATTAAGTTCGTAACCAGAGGTACCACTGTAATTGTATTACTTTTGATTAATGGGAAATTACCATGGGCCAGGGTCGCACTAATAAGCTGTATAAGAAAAATCTTTTTTGTAACATCCACCTACAAAAACACAACTATTCCCTTAATCTTTTGACAGTTATATGCTTCCAAGTTTTTTGAAGTCCCAGTTTGCATGTTATGAGGATGGGTTCTTTCATTACAAATAATGTCATTTAAAGCAGCAACAACTTGGCTGGAAGAGCCTGTCTTTTAGCTGTGCATTATTTTTTTCCCTTATACCCAAATTAGGAATGATAGTGATGGGGAAGGAGAATCGGATGATCCTGAGAAAAAGAAGTTGCAGAATCAACTCCAAGGTAGCTTTACATCAAGCGCTTAATATCTCGAATAAAGTCTTTTTATCAAATGAACAGGGCAGAAGTTGCAAGATAGATAACTTGAAACATCTAATTAATATCAGCCTAATAACGGGACAAACGTTACAGTTTAAAAGGGAGAGTGCAAATGTACCCCCTTTTTTCCTCCTAGCTGATTGCAGCCACTTTCCCCCTCTGCTTCTCTGGAGTAATTGTCTTTTCTCTCTCCCTGCTTGATACCAGACATTCAAGATTCTCTTGCAGAAGATACATAACTACATAGCTAATCAGATTGACTACTTAGCATTGCCACTGAGGGTAAATGAAACAGGCAGGATGCTCCAGGGCCAAGGGAGGTATCCCTGCTTTGCAGAGGCAATCTGTTCACATTCCCTTCCTTCTGCTGTTATGCTGCAAGGACAGTGTCAGTACCAGTCTTTTTGGCCTGTAAGGGCTACCCATGCAGTACAGTTTGGGTGAAGATACAGAGCTCAGCTCTGTATGGTTACATTCCCTTGCAGATACTTTCTTCCGTGTTCATTCCTCCCCCTTCCCAAAAGATCACCTGAAGGTCATGAGAGAGAGACTTTATGACCTGGCCACCCCAATCAAAATCATTCTACAGATCAAAGAAAATGTAAAAATTCAGATACTTCAATTGTCGTCTGTTAAGTGAAATACTATAGTGCTGTTTTGCCCTAGGTTAAGAATAGGATAGTTTTGTCAGTGCCAGGATGTAAACTTAAGTTTTCCAAGTACTGGAGCCTTTGAAGAAGCTCTTCTGTAAACGTTAGACTAGAAATGATCAGTGATCTTCTCCAGTGGTGATACTGTTCTTTTTTTGAAACTGGAAAAGAATGAGGCGTTTAAAATTATTTGATAGTTTGAGGATCTCGCAGTGGAAATAATTTTAAAATATTTTAGTTGGACTATGATGTTGCTTCTAGCTGCTGCCAATGTGTCAAGTTAAATCGTTGTTCAATTTTATTCTGTTTATTTTTATTAATTGTCCATATATTGTAAGCTGCCTTGTGAGGATTTCAGTCTTAATAAATCAATTTCATAGGTGCTATTGTCATGGAGCGACCAAATGTCAAATGGAATGATGTTGCTGGGCTAGAAGGAGCAAAAGAAGCTCTCAAAGAAGCAGTAATATTGCCCATTAAATTTCCTCATCTTTTCACAGGTATTTCTTTATATATTGTCTTTCAGTTACAAAACCCTAAAATGTTGAAGCTGTAGGGCAAAGTACCCTGCTTGAACATCTATGTACATGGGTGTCCTAATCTTTCAGCTGGTCAGGAATAGTTGCTGCTGTCATACCAGTCTGAGCTGCTAGGAGGCACTTTATGCCACATTTGTGCATTCCTAGTCTGTTTGCATGTTTGTGCTTCCCTAGGCAGGGAATTTGGTGCTGAGTTGATAGATGGGAGTCCTAGACTGAAACAGAATGTAACATTTTCAACATACATGTAAAAAGGGTGCACCAGAATTAGTACCTTGTATTGATTTTTTTCTGGTACAATCCTGTGTGTAGCTGTTGGCAGGAATCTAATTTCCTGCTGACAATATAATATTTTATTCTGATAATTCCAAAAGCATACATATAGAAGTAATTTATAAATGATAATAAAAGCAAGAAGTACCTCTCTTAATTATGTCACAAGTGATTATTTGCAGGGGTTGGGTGTTATTTTGTACCATAATCAATTCCAAATTGATGCTTTTTCTAATTAGTCCCCCCCCCCCCAATATTATAAATACACTTTATATTTCTTAGGGAAGAGAACTCCCTGGAGAGGCATCCTTCTGTTTGGACCCCCAGGAACAGGAAAATCCTACTTGGCAAAAGCTGTTGCAACAGAAGCTAACAATTCTACATTCTTCTCCGTATCTTCTTCTGACCTTGTCTCAAAATGGTTGGGAGAGAGTGAAAAGTAAGTATTAAAGCTATAAAGGGTGGAAGCTTCCAGTTCTTCAGGGATCGTGAACCCACATGCCAAGCCTTGATTTCTGTTCAAGTGACCCCTTTGCTCTTGTATGAGAACCAAGGGATAAGGTAACTGTAATTTGAGTATTCTAATAGGTGCTTTTCCTGTGTTATATAAAATATATTGTCTACAAAACCTCCTGTAAAAAAAAAAAGCCTTTAACATTTTTCTAGGACGCTGCGATAGATGAATGTGGCTACCTATCAACAATCTCACAGGTTTCAAATTCTGTGTTTAATCCCCCCATGAAACGAAAAATTATGCAACTTGGAAAAAGTGTGTTTCTGCTCTGCTTGGAGAAACAGACTGAAGGGAAATGCATAAGAATGGGGAAATACATGGAAGGAACTGATTGACTGGTCCTTTGAACGAGAGCTGTGTGGTTCTATAGGAAGTACCACCCTCTGCTTCCTAGTTTTTAAATTGCTCACTGGAACTCCTTGATACACTTCTCTGTGGGGTGTCTGGACCCAGTATGTCTGACTGGTTTGGAAAATGCAATATCGTTCCTGGGCTATTCATACGTAGTTCATGTATGAGACTTGGATATTAAAAAGTACCTTCATGAAATAAAGAGGGGGGGGTCCTGTTTTGTGGGGTTGGGAGAATTAGAAAGAAAAGAGGAAGAATTGGGGATTGAGGTATGTACCAAGACAAAATTGCTTCATGCATAGTTGCCCATTCTAAATGAATGAAGCCAGTTAAATTTCAGACAGACAGGTGCAGTGGTTTTAGGTTTTTTAAAGGGGATAACTATAACATTTTAACTTCTTAGTGTTACATTTGCTGGGCATTGCCTCTTCTGAATGAAGGAAGCATATCACATTTCAGATAGAAAAGTTCAGAGGTTTTATTCAAAAGGAGCCTTTAATATTTGAGGGTGAAGGAGTTTGCTTCTGCACCCCAACTTGGTGGTGCAATTTGTATGAAAATGGAATACATTGTAGAAGCACCTGTATGCTAAATAACCTACAAAATTTCAGGATAAGTGCAGGAGTTAGGGAACTGTCAGGAAAATCAGTTGAGGGTTTGTTTGCTTTTTCCTGCTCAATTGACATGAACTAAGATCATTCCCAAAGCACCGTTGTTGGAAATAAAGGTGGGACCTGGTCATTTGCTTGTTGGAAGCTAGTAATGTCAGTCAGAAAACTAAGCTCCCTCCCCCTGCCTGGCATTTTCTTTTTATGGAGAGCTTGGGAGGAGGAAACACAACCATTTTTAACAGACAGTCTGGACAGATTGCATGCACCAAATCTATGAGTTAGATCTGAGTTTGCTTTTCAGGAAGATCTTCACCTTGGACAAAGCCTGAATAGCTATGCGGCAGCCTAGTTTGTTTCTAGATTTGTTCTTTGCCCAAAGCAGATGCATAGTGACAGTGAGGGACTGCAATAGCATTCAGGCATGTAGGCCTTCAGACTAACTCTCAGCTACATCATCTCGAAAGTGTAATAATCTGCTCTGCAATTTACTACCCTGTGTTTCATGTTTCTCTATACTGTGACATCTAGAAATGTTGTTCTTCAGCTATATTGCAAAGAGTCCTGAAATTATAGTTACTGAGCAGTTGGATAGTGGTTCTAATCAATGGAGAGATGACCAAGAACTAATAACTTTGCTGTTTAATTTCTCAAACTTTGTATGAAGCAACTGGATAAAAGGCAATTCTTATATGAAGTATATACACTTAGTTATAAAGGTTCTAGTATCTCATCATCTATGGAAGATTAACAGCTAAGAACTTTACTGAATTTTGGAAAACAGGTGAAATACTTCCGTGTTGCTGTCCTGCTGTAATGTAACTTAAATTGTTCCACAGGCTAGTGAAGAATCTCTTCCAGCTTGCCAGAGAAAACAAACCTTCAATTATCTTCATTGATGAAATAGATTCTCTCTGTGGCTCCAGAAGTGAAAATGAGAGCGAAGCTGCCAGACGAATTAAAACAGAGTTCTTAGTTCAGATGCAAGGTAAGATCATTTTCTTGGCATGGCTACTTAAAGTAATATGATAGCTTATATAACATGATTGTCTGTAGCCTAGCATTCATTAGCCGGCCTAGGAAAATCTGTGGAGATAAAAGTTTATGGTGTTTAAAATATGCTAAGTTCAGTGTTTCTCATTCTCCATGCTATACATTGCTTAGAGGTTGTTATTATTATAGTCACTGATTAAATTCACCTGTTCTGATTAGGAGTTGGAACAGACAATGAAGGAATTTTGGTTCTGGGAGCTACTAACATACCTTGGGTTCTAGATTCTGCCATCAGAAGAAGGTAAGGTATAATAACATAAATAAATTCATTATTGTCCTGGTCAAAGTGACACTGCTTGCAGCTTAGTCAGGGTTGCAGGATTACTTGTCCACCTCTGGTATAGTAACACCTCTCTCCTGGTGCTGACAAAGCACTGCAGCCCAAGCATGTAGCAGTAGCAGTAGCAGTAGCAGCAATGAACACCACTTGCATCAGTATCAGAATCTAGTGGGTGACAGAAAGCACTGGACATTTTTGCTCCACTTTGCAGGCGTATTTTTCGCTCCATAAGACACACTTTTTTCCTCCTAAAAAGTAAGGAGAAATGTGAGTGCGTCTTATGGAGCGACTGGCGCTGCGCAGAGAGGGAGAACTGCGCAGCGCCCCTTCAGCGAAGCGGAAGGAGGAACAGAGCCCCTTCTGTTCCTCCTCCCACTTCGCTGAAGGGGCACTGCGCAGCTCTCCATCTCTGCGCAGAGCCTGTCCTGCGAAGCCGGAGGAGGAACAGAACGGTCTCCTTCTGTTCCTTCTCCAGCTTCGCTGAAGGGGCGCTGCGCAGTTCTCGCTCTCTGCGCAGCGCCTCTCCTGGCTTCTGCCTTAGCCGTGCGCAGCCTCTTCGGGCAGGGGGAGCCTTCATCCCGCTGCCCTGAAGAGGCTTGGCGCGGTTAACCCAGAAGCCAGAACAGCCACACGGTATCCCAGAAGCCAGATCCCTCTTGCTGTTCTGGCTTCTGGGATTCAGAATAATTTTTTCTTGTTTTCCTCCTCCCAAAACTAGGTGCGCCTTATGGAGCAAAAATGCGGTACTTCAGTTAACCTACAATGGCTCTAGTTGTTTATGTCGGTGCAGCGACACAGTTTTATAGGATTGTGTGGCCACATATTATTTAAATGCATTGGCGCGGTTCACACACCATGTTAAGCCAATGTGTGACTTGGCCCAAGTGTGTGGGCTCCAGGTGATGGAATTGCAGCCTTTTGCTCCCCCTTCTTCTCTGGTCATTCTACTGCTGTGCTGAGCTTAGCCATGGCTTTGCCTACTGTGCTATCTGAACCCAGGCTCATGGTTTAGTTCTCTCCAGGCTAACTGTGAACTGTAATTAAGGATTGCCCTACCTTATGGTTCATCCAGGAGAGCTACAGCACGAACCTGGATTCAGACGACTCGCTAAATCAAGCCATGGCTTCATGCCAAAGCGGTACAAACAGAGAGATGCAAAATGGCCACAATCTCTTTCCTGGAAGCTTGCACATTGATACTAAGCCATGGTTCGGCTTAGTGTGATGTGGAAACCAGGCTGCTGTAAACAAAATGTTTCCTCATTCTGCTCACAGAAGTAATTATAAGATCTTTGAGTAATCTTGTCAGAAGAATAAACAAACCACAAGGATTACTTTGTACAGTGAACCTATTAGTTTGGCTTTGTTTACTAAAACTGGGAGCAAGCACTACACCCATGCATCCTCCGCTGTCAGTTGCTAAGCAGATTCCTGTTTCTGATATAATGCACAGATTGTTAAAAGAGACCAGGAGTGAAACATCAAAGCAGAGTGTAAGGGTATGCATGCAGCCTCAACCCTTGTGGCCAGATCATGCTTTATGAAGTCAGAACTACTGCATCCAATACATGCCTTAGTATGTCCCTTAATGGAACAAACTAATATTGTATTGTGAAACATCTGCAATACTTCTTTAATCATCCATGCAATTTTTTTGCTTTAAGAACATGAAATATGTTGGCTATGATTTAGTGCGTAAGCAGTTCTATAAATATGGCGTACAGTGCACTTTTATGGAATTTTAAAACACAAGTTCCTGAATTTTATTCAAACAACCAGTAACTTTTAGTTATTTTATTATTTCTCTAGACCGTAGAAAATAATTTTGTCACGAGCGTGAAAAGAAATGGACAGCTCAAAAGGACCTGGATTCTAATACTTGCTTTTAAAACTCTCAGTCTGGGTGCTGTTAATGTTTCACAGCTTACATTTCATGGTTGGATTTTTCAAAAACTGTAGTATAAAGATAGGGTTATAGTCAACTGTGTTTTACAGAGTAGACCCATTTAAATTAATAATTTCCTTTCTCCAGGAAACCCATTGTTCCCTCCCTAGTTGTGCTAGAAAAACAAACTTGAATTTGCATGAAATCTGTTATGGGCAGTGGTATTTTTCTAGGAAAAGAAATGCCGGAACTTACCATAAATGCCTCCCTTGTTCTTTTATAATGGCTGTGGCACCTGAGAGGTGCCATAACTGTGTTCCGGTAAGTCCTGTGTGGGGAAAAAACCCTGGTTATGGGTATGGATGAGCATCACTGTTTGTGATTTTTCTAATAAGGTTTGAGAAGCGCATTTACATTCCCTTACCTGAGGATCATGCAAGAGCTGCAATGTTCAAGCTTCACCTTGGGACCACTCAGAACACCTTGACTGAATCAGATTATCGAGAGCTGGGGAAGCGAACCGATGGCTACTCAGGCGCCGACATAAGCATAATAGTACGAGACGCCCTAATGCAGCCGGTTAGGAAAGTTCAGTCGGCCACACACTTTAAAAAAGTGAGTAACTGGAACTTCTAAATTCTTCTTCTGCATGCTCATCAGAGGTCAACAGGTGGTTGTTTTCAGGACTCAACTGCAGGGTTTTGTCCCAGGTCACGTGTGGTGTCTCTGTAATGCAGCACAAAGTTTAAGGGGAAGCCTCCTGCACCTCTCGACTTGCAGCTGGGGAAGAAAGGGCAGAAAACAAAACACAACTCCAAACAGTTCATAACAAGGTGCCTACTTTGGTGCCTGCAGGTGCTCTGGCAAACCAACGCATCTCTCCGTTCCAGTTACAAGCCAACAAGGAGAAAGTGCATGAAAATGATATACAGGTGGTACATGACCCCAGTCAAGCTTGCAAAAATCTATCATTTGCCCGATAATAAATGTTGGAAATGTAAAGAAACTGAAGGTACATTCTTTCACCTTTGGTGGACGTGCCCAAGGATTGAGGCTTCCTGGGAAATGATCTATAATGAAATGAAAAAGGTATTTAAATATACCTTTCTGAAGAAACCAGAGGCCTTTCTCCTGGGCATTGTAGGCCAATTGGGGCCAAAGAAGGACAGAACTTTCTTTATGTATGCTACAACAGCAGCAAGAATACTCATTGCAAAGTATTGGAAGACACAAGATCTACCCACCCTGGAAGAATGGCAGATGAAGGTGATGGATTATATGGAACTGGCAGAAATGACTGGCAGAATCCGAGACCAGGGAGAAGAGTCAGTGGAAGAAGACTGGAAGAAATTCAAAGACTATTTACAGAAATACTGTAAAATTAATGAATGTTAGAATGATGTTGGATAGAAATTAAGTGGTTTCCAGCTGTAATGCTATAAGGGAATATGAAAAATGGATTATTAATAGGTAAAAATTTAATGTCACAATATTTTAAGACCAAAGACTAGGATAAACAAAGAGGGTAAGGATTTGCTGAACCAACAAACCGAACTGGAATACAAAAAAGGGAGGCGTGAGGAGGTCCGGGAAACAAGCTAATGAAAAATAAGTAATGGAAAGATTGAGTGGTTTTTAATCATTTTTATTTTGTATTTTTTTTTCTTCTTTTTTTGTAACATTTTGAAAATCTCAATAAATACCTTATTAAAAAAAAAAGAAAGTGCGGCACAGGTATATCAGCTTGCTCGGCCTTTTCACTCAGATTCTCTGAGCCCCCATTGTGTAGAGGGAAGCCCATATACCTGTGCCTCCCTTCTCCAGTGGTGAGCTGAAAACAGGAGGTATAAGCATGGTACTGCTCTGTCTTTGTACACACAGTTGGCAAGTGCAGAGCCAAAACAAATCCCAGGCTTCAGCAGAACTCTTGTGCCCCATTGATCCAACAGGAAAATGACCACACCTGCAGGCAAGCTGTCGAGGAGGGAGCCAACACCATATCTTGGTTCTTGCTATTCCCTACCAGTGTCTTTACAGTCATCTTTAAATACTATGGTTTTAAGATTTTACTTGATGGTTGCAGTGCAGGTACTGTATATGAGGAAAGTGTCATCCCTGTCTATTTGTCTGTATCCTCTCCTATTTCATAAGCTGTATTTATATTTTAAAAGTGATCCTTGCTTTGCATAAAACTTCTATCCCAAATTTTCCAGAAGTCCTAGGATACCTTTTAAAACAAAAGCAACAGTGCTTACACACAAATGTCCTTTCCTATTATAGTTCATCACATTTGGTTTAAAAGGGCTGCAAGTCATGACATGATACCAGATTCTGCCTGAAATTCGACATGCTTGAGAATGTAGACAACCAACTGTCTGTCCCAGAAAGGAGAATCATGAATATTGGTGCTAAGTACTGTGCAGAGAAAGGGGCTCCTCTTTTTTTTTTTAAAGTGATGTTATCTTGGGCAAATGCTTTCTAAAATCTGGCTTGTTTGTTTAAAATATATATAAACATGTTTTCCGTATTTGGATTATATACACTGTCTTTTCATCAAAAAATTCTGAAAGTTATGAAGGCGGGCAGCAGAAAAAGAACTTTACTAGCAGGTCTTCTTGGCAAAGCATCAGAAGCTTATATGCAGTTGAATTCTGATTGCCAAGTAAATTTACTGTTTTCTAGTGGCGCTGTGGGTTAAACCACAGAAGGTTGGCGGTTCGAATCCCCGTGATGGGGTGAGCTCCCGTTGCTCGGTCCCAGCTCCTGCCAACCTAGCAGTTCGAAAGCACATCAAAGTACAAGTAGATAAATAGGTACCGCTCCAGCGGGAAGGTAAACGGCGTGTCCGTGTGTTCACCAGAAGTGGCTTAGTCATGCTGGCCACATGACTGGGAAGCTGTACGCCGGCTCCCTCGGCCAATAAAGCGAGATGAGCTCCGCAACCCCAGAGTCGGTCACGACTGGACCTAATGGTCAGGGGTCTCTTTACCTTTACCTTATAGCTCTCCGCAGAATGGATTTGGTAGTTGTTGAAATGTATCCTGAGAATGCCCCATCACAAGAACGTAACAAGCAGGACAGGATGTGCTGGTTATGATACTAAACCAAGTTTATTTCTCTCATGTGCTACATAGCATTAATGCTTTTCTTCCTGCCTGGTATGACTTGGTCTGCCAGAAAATCCACAGAACATTGCTAGCCAAGCTTTTGGGCAAGTACAGTGGTACCTCAGGTTAGATACGCTTCAGGTTACAGACTCTGCTAACCCAGAAATATTACCTTGGGTTAAGAACTTTGCTTCAGGATGAGAACAGAAATTGTGCTCCGGTGGTGCGGCAGCAGCAGGAGGCCCCATTAGCTAAAGTGGTGCTTCAGGTTAAGAACAGTTTCAGGTTAAGAACAGACCTCCAGAATGAATTAAGTTCTTAACCCGAGGTACCACTGTATGGCAATAGCCAAGTCTAAAGAAGTACATAGTGCTACTCTTAAGGCACACTATAAGTACAGGTGCAACCCTGCCTTTCCATAGATGTGGGTTTGGGTCTAAAACTTGGCGAAGTAAACAGGGAAAATAAGCTTAATTATGCCACATAATTACATCTGTGGCTTCTCTTGCTCTTTCAAGCTTGCTATAAAGTCACATTGCCTTTGGCACAGAATGCCACTTATGTTCTAGATTCACAAAACAAAACATCCTTGTTCACTTGTTTCCTGTTAAAGATAAACAGGTATGCCTTTTACCATTGACCTTGTTTGACAGAACCTCCAAATGCGTTTACTCCTGCAACTGAGAAATTTTGCTTCTTCCAAAGGTGAAAGGACCATCACTGTCTGATCCAAACGTTCAAGTAGATTTGTTCACTCCATGTTCTCCGGGAGAACCAAGTGCCATTGAAATGACATGGATGGAAGTGCCAGGAGACAAACTACTGGAGCCTGTTGTTTCAATGGTTAGTCTTTGTTTTGCTATGGATGTTTTCGTCTTGGACTAGCTCTGCCAGAGGTCACAGCCTTATAATTAAACCTGAATACCTGATATAATTCCGATGGCTTAGTGATGGGTGTGCTCAATTGCAAAGTACACTTGCTCATAAGAGAGATATGTCCCTTCTTCCTGCAACTTCTCTCCAATCAAAAAAGCTCCTCCCTGTTGTGCTTTGCCATCCTGGAAGGTATTGTGAAAGAATTCTGAGAGTGTGCCCTTGCATGCACTCCTGAACTAAACCTTCCTGCAGTAGCTGATATTCTTTATGTGGACCCTTCTTGCTTTGTGCATCAAATGCTTAGGATGTGGTTGTTCCTCATAAAGGTGATAAAGGTGAAGGGTTTCAGTATCTCCTCACTGCCTTGCATTAAATACTTGGAAAATGACACTCAATATAAGTTGTGTAGAGTTATATATGAATGGTTTGCTGCTTTCCTCTGAAGTTCAACCACCACTATTACAAAAACATACCTGCTACTGTCGTAAAACTTGCAGGCTGGAGGTGGTTTATGCAGAGTGACAAAGTTGAGTATATTGATTGAAGAAGGTGGTGAGTGCGCTAGAATGGGGGATGTGAACTATTTATTAGATATTTTATAAAATTATTGAATTCAGTATACAAAACTGCATATAATTTTATATTTGATCAACTCTGCTGCCTCCGCCCCCTTGTCAGTGTAAGTCCGTGAAGAAGTACATCCCAAAATCAGTTCATGTGCTTTATTTTACATAATTAGAATCAACAAAACCAAAAAACTACAGCTCCCCACTCTGGAGCTTTTTTCGCCGTTGAAATAAATATCAGTTCCCACACAATAACAGCAGACATTTCTATAAATAACTTTGAAGTTTAGTTTAAGCCCCAATACCCCTTCCACCACATTATTAAGGGTATTATTCATTTATGGTAGTACAAAATTAAAACCGCTTGCACACAAATAATATTGTCTAAGGCTGAAAGGAAATATCTAATTTGAGTGTGCCCAGTGGATTTGTGCCTCCTTCCTGTATCCTAAAACTGACATTGAAAGTATCCTTCTCCAGTTTCAAAAACAGTTTGCCATGAGATATAATTAACGAACTTTACCCTATGAAAATACAGGATGAAAAACAATTAGTCATTAGTTGTGGCTCTCGACTGCCAACTTGTTGTCAAGTTATTCTTAAGTGATATGGAGTAGCAACATCATAATAACAATCAAACATTTAATATTAGGACAGCCACCTTATTGACCTGGTTTTCCAATAATGGTAAGCCAAACAGTGGCTTACTGCAAACAAGCAAGCATGCTGGTTTTATTGTTATCATTGCTTTCTTTGCTGCGAATTATTTTGTATTGTGAATTTTATTGTTACCAATCTTTTACTGCCATTTTTGTCTGAAAACGTAGGGAATAAATGGAAATCTCCTGAACTGCAAATGAGTAAAAAAAGAAAGAAAAAGGGCTCTAAAAGTTGCTTGCTCCTTCTAAGTATCTGTGAAGTTTTTGCATTTTCTTTCAACTCTAGCATAAAAGTTACATCCCGTATGGGGCTCACTGACAAAAATCCATGTGCCCAACAAGCTTTGTAATTTCTCTTGAGTCTTTCTTTCTCAAAAGAGGAAGGCTTGCAAGTATTTTTGAATAATGACTTCATTACATCAAAGTCTGCTTCCCACAACCTGTCCAGTGGTCAAGGGAAATGAAAGCTTGTTTATGCCCATAACACATAATTTGCTCTCATTTTCCTTCCTAAACCTTTGTTCAGCGGGCAGGTATATGGTGGATATTGTTTCTGGGGTTATACCCTTTAACAAGTCTAAACTTGCTGGTGGTACCTTTTTTTGGCAAAATCTCATGGTTCCGCCTGGTACTTTAGTCATCCAATAGTAATGAATTCCTCTAACAAATCTGTGTATGTTGTGTTTACGAAAGGGTTTGTTATGTCCGTTTAAAAAATAACAAAGAACATCCTTAGGAGATAAATATAAAAATACGGCGAATGGGGGTCAAGGTGAACACCTTAACCTACATTGTTGCCTACCCATGAGGCTTCAGGATTCATTGGGTATAAATAGTTATATCACTTGGAGGATCAAAACTTAATAACTTGCCCTGTACTTTAATGTGGGTTCCTAACAATTACAGCCTTCAAAAGGCAAATGCATGCTGATTCTGCAGGTGAGTGATGGTGGAATTGTAGTGATTCTGTCATGTCAAGAATTGGTGTGGCCTAGTAGCTATGGGACAGAGCTGGGACCTGGGTAGCCATGAATTTGTTAGCACATACCCTTAGCCCTTTGGCAATATGAGGGCAATACTGATCTGCTTTACATGATTGCTGTAATGGTTGTTATATACATTAAATGCTTTGATTAATGAAGTTGTTAAATACTGAATAGGTTTACTGAATAACAATCTGTTCTCATATCTGTTCCCAACCCTTGGAGTGTGCGAGGAAGTGTTCATTCACTTTTTTACCATTATGTTGTCATTTCTCGAGGCCCAGAAGTCATTCTAAACATTTATTCAGGATTTGATTTGATTGTCAATTTACCGTATTTTTCGCACCATAGGGCGCACCTGACCATAGGGCGCACCTAGTTTTTAGAGGAGGAAAACACACAAAAAAATATTCTGAATCAAATGTTGCACTAAACTATTTAAAGCAGCAAAGCGGGCGGCTCCTGTCCGCTTTGCTGCTTTAAATCGAGCCTCAGAGGAGGGTAGGAAGGGGAACCATGGCTTATCTAAGTCCAGTTAATAATGCTGAGCCTGACTTATGGCCATCGAGATTAGCCTGGCCGTCTCAGTGGAAATCTGGGGAGGCTGAGGTGGACATTCCAGTGGTCAAAGTGTGGTTGTGTCTTCCTGCCCGGCATCTATTTCCTGCCGTCTTTCCCCCCTGCACCCCCGCACCCTGCTTCGAGGGAAGGAAGCAGAGCCATGGATCCTCTGCTTGCAACTACAGTGGATTCCCTCCACTTTGAAGCAGGAAAGTGGGAGAGGAGCTGCTTACACGAGTGTAAGCTGCTCCCCTCCCACTTTGCTGTTTCAAAGGGAGCCTGGGAGGAGGGAATCCGCTGCCTTCGCTAGCAGAGATCCATGGTCCCGCATCCTGCCGTCCTCCATAGCTGCTTTGAAGCAGGAAGGCTGGGAGAGGAGCTGCTTACACGAGTGTAGGCTGCTCCCTCCCACTGCTGCTTCAAAGGAGCCGGGCAGGAGGCAGTCCAGCTGCATGGATCGCCTGCTTGCAGCTCCTCCATGGCTTGCTCTGAGCAGCAGGTGGGAGAGGAGCTGCTTACACGAGTGTAAGCTGCTCCCCTCCCACTTTGCTGCTTCAAAGGGAGCTGGGGAGGAGGGAATCCGCTGCAGCTTCCCCCACCTCCCACAAAACCGGCAGAAGCCGCCAGCTCTTTAAAGGGGCTGCGCGGCTTCTCCTGGCTTTTCTGGGAGGTGGGAGAAGGGACTGATGCAGCTTTTTCCCCTCCTGGGGAAAAGCCCGCAAGAGCGCACGAAGCTTGTGTGCGGCTCTTGGGGGCTTTTCCCGCCTGCCTCCCCCTTGCATTCGCTCCATGGGACGCACACACATTTTCCCTTGCTTTTTAGGAGGGAAAAAGTGCGTCCTATAGAGCGAAAAATACGGTATTTACCTTCCTTCATCCAAGGGTCACAGGGTGGTTTACATTAAACATGCTTCTGAGTAAACATGCGTAGGATCGTGTTGTCAAGCAGTAATTGACATGCGTGGGTCTAACTACATGTAATTTAAAGTAGGTGTGGTGACATAGATTTCCTGGTCTCAAGTATCATGGTTGCTTAATAATATTGGTAAGCTTCCATCTTTGGCACATGAATGATTGGTAAAATATATGTAGAAATGTGTTGGCTCTTCTGTATCTTCATGGCTGCTTCTGTATCTTCATGGCTGCTTCTTATATTTCCCCCCTCTATTGTGTCATTGAGCTGTGAAGTTGGCAAATGTATGTTGGTGACATTTCTTTTTAATTGCACGTAGTTTGTTTACACAGAGAAATATTTGGCTCTTGACTGTTTGCTTTTCTCTATGTGGCAGGCGGATATGCTGAGGTCATTAGCCAACACAAAGCCCACTGTGAATGAACATGACCTGGAAAAACTAAAGAAGTTCACAGAAGATTTTGGACAGGAAGGCTAATCCAAAGACCATTGAGACCCTAAATTTCTTTATTTGGAATTCTTGCCTCTTTATTGCCAATAAATGAATTGCGCCTTCCTTCCTTTCCATATGAACTGATGAGCCATTTGCAAGGACCCTTGAGCTTTTATATTATCACTTTCCAGAAATATCTATTAAATGTCTTCTTCTGAGAGCATGATACTGGGATCTTGTGGCGAAGAAGAAGGAAAACGTGGTGAAAACACTTTAACATGTAACAGCCCCTTTAGCTATTGCAGTTTTTTAAGTTTGGATTTCAGGTAATTTATACTAGTCCTAGTTTATCAATATTATAAAACTCCTATAGACCAAAAACTGGGATGGGGTATTTGTGACATTCCAAATGTTATAGAACTCTCAGCTTTCATCAGACCTGGCCAATATTGGCAACGGTCAGGAATGATTGAAGTTGTGGTTCAACTATATCTGAGGGTTACAGGTTCCCCACCCCAGCCTAAAAAACAAAACAAGTTGGGCAGAAGACACATTGATTGCCTGGTGTTTTCAGTGTCAGTCAATTTTGTCTGCAAAGAAATTCTCCATTTGGAATTATGCAGCATTTGGTAATATATGTAGTTACATGGGAGTTGATTATAAAGAATGGCGAAAGAAATTGGGGTTGGGAAGTGAGAAAGAAGAACTTGCATTTTTTAAAAGGCCAGTACTTAACCGAGTGTAATGTTGAACTGGTACTTTGTATTTTCTTTTCTGCTTTGTGGTATTCAGACATTGCCTTAAAAGCAGCAAGCATTGTTTTTAACACCAATAGACACCTGTCACTGTGCAACCTACCAGAAAATAGCTTAAAAAATAAATAAACATTTTGGAGGAACATTCCCTCCCCCCTCCTGTTTTCATGGAACATTTCTGTTGGGTAAGAATCCATGGACAACCCTGCAGACCAAATTTTAGCAAGCCATTCATTGAGGGAAGGATAATTCTGGACTCATTTGCAAAGAAACTTTGGGACCAAGTAGGGAACGGCGTAGCGAACCTCTCTGAGGTGCCAAGGGAAGTTGGTCTTGTTCAGAGTCTACCTACAAATGTCTAGCTTATTAGTTCAATAACTAAATATATTGGGAATGGGTTGACATTTCTTTAAACACAGTATAGGGGTAGTGCATATGGGTTCCCCGCCTCCCAAGGCCTTTGCTAAGAATTATTCATCTTAGAGAAGTGCCTGAATGTAACTTACAACACTGCGGTCACAGCACTGAGGTGTGCCTTGCAAGTTTGCCCCTGTTGTAGACAAGTGATAATCAATAATGTAACACATTGCATTATTGTTAATAGAATTGTACCTTGTAGATGCTTTGTGCTTTACAAGATTTCTGAGTTTATTAAGTACTGTATGGTTACTCTCATGATATTTGGTTTTGTTTTTCTGTACATATTCTGTGTACTTTCTGAAATCATAGGACTGGTGGAAATTTGCTTATGAATGAAGTAAAAAGTTGCAATACAACACTAGCTTATGTTTCTTTAGTTTTTTTCCCTTTTGGGCAGCTTTATATGTTAAAATATTTGTTGCATTAATTTTTGCATATGCTCAGAAATACAATTCAAATGATATTCTGAAATCTACTCAAAGACATTTTTGAGAACACATCTTTGAAACTGCACTTTACTTTTTATAGTTCTATATTGCAGTGCTTCATTTTTCATTTATTGACAAACATTTTTCAGAGCACTGAACTCTTTACTGTCATATGCATTGTGTAGACCCAGCATTTTCCATACCTACTTTCTTACCGCTTGCTTCTACTGCCTGCTGCATTATATCTGCTTTCAAAATCAAGTGGATTTGAGACTTGGTTTTGACATGTTGAGCTTCACCTTGTGTTCATGTTATGATGTGTGCACTCTTAGAACATTTGGCACTTATATCATGGAGACCGTAGGTCATCAGTCAAAGCTCTTCTGTAATGGTTTAAAATCCAAAATAAAATAATGTTCATGTTCTGATTCCATTTGCTTGAATAACTATTTGTTAGGGGTTTTGCAGCAATTACCAGTTTCTGCAATATTTTAGTTAGGTAATTCCCAAAAGATGGTTTACGGAGAATGAAATCCAAAATCTTCTTACACCTGCAGTATTAAAGGTAAAGGTACCCCTGACCCTTAGGTCCAGTCGCGGACGACTCTGGGGTTGTGGCACTCATCTCACTCTATAAGCCGAGGGAGCCGACTTTTGTCCGCAGACAGCTTCTGGGTCGTGTGGCCAGCATGACTAAGCCACTTCTAGCTAACCAGAGCAGCGCACGGAAATGCTGTTTACCTTCCCGCCGGAGCAATACCTATTTATCTACTTGCACTTGACGTGCTTTCGAACTGCTAGGTGGGCAGGAGCTGAGACCGAACAACGGGAACTCACCCTGTCACAGGGATTCCTGCAGTATTAGAATAGTATTAATTCTTTCAATTTAAGGTGGTGAACTGCTGCCATTATCACCATGTTTTAAAAGTAATTTGACTATTCCTTCTTTCAAGGAGGAACATCACAGTTCCAGATAAAGTATTACCTGAAAAGTATATTGGAGGGGAGGGACATGGGTGGAGCTGTGGTCTAAACCACAGAGCCTAGGGCTTGCCAATCAGAAGGTCGGTGGTTCGAATCCCCGTGACGGGGTGAGCGCCCCCGCTGCAACCCCAGAGTCGTCCGCAACTGGACCTAATGGTCAGGGGTACCTTTACCTTTATATTGGAGGGGAGCTTTGGGGGAAGGAATTATAGTTCTCAATAATTACAATTATTTCTTTGATATTTACTACTTTCACCAATACAGTGGTACCTTGGGTTACGAACTTAATTCATTCCAGAGGTCCGTTCTTAACCCGAAACCGTTCTTAACCTGAGGCGCGCTTTTACCAACGGGGCCTCCCACTGCCGCCACCACATGATTTCCATTCTCATCCTGGGGAAAAGTTCTCAACCCGAGGTACTACTTCCGGGTTAGCGGAGTTTGTAACCCGAAGCATTTGTAACCCAAGGTACCAATGTATTTTCATTAATTTGGTATTACCACATATGGGAGTCTCATATTTCCCTTTTAAAAAAAATAATTAGCCTATAATATGATTTAACTGGGTGGGAAAAACAGCTGGGAGAGGTTTCGCAGCAGCAAATTGTCTACAGGGGAAAGGGTTAAGCAGCAACACCCTCTTACTCTTCATTTACTCAAACTTGCAGCTTCCTATGGCTTCCTTTGTGCCAGGTGATATCTAACTGGGCCCTTTTCCCTGGAAAGTGAGCATAGTAATTGCATCCTTAGCTTTACAGGACGGAGAGACAACCCATTTTTTGTTTGTCTTGCCAAACTGGCTTGCCAGAACAATGGGTAGGATTTGCTTGCTCGGGCTATTTGGAATCAGGGTTGTATTAGACATGACTAGCAATGACCTGAATCTTGGAATGTGGTCCATGCCAAGCAATGGTAGAGTAGATGTGAATGCTCAGCATATTCCCATCTTGCCTCAACTTCACTTTTGGAGCTCAGAGGAGATGGAAAGGGTTTGAGAAAGCCACACACTCTGCCACCACTGCTCCATTTAAAATTCCTCCCTTCCACTACTTTACACAAGTCACAGTCTCCTAGGCCTAGTTTAACCAAACTTTGCACCAAGTGCTAATCAAAGCCAGAGTGGCACAGGTGGCTACTACTGCCTTGCTGGCAATATTCTTATTAGTGTGGCCTATAAATATTTAAACAAATAAATACTAATTGTGGTTCAAATTGGCCAGGTGATTTTTTAAAGGTCAGGTTCAGGTCCAGTCGCTGAAAGAAAAACACCCCCACTCAGCGGCTTGAAGGAGTGGGTGTGTCAAATTTTGTTTGACAGGTAGAACCTGCATCTTTTTCCATTTTTCATTTATCAGGCGAAATTGGATCCTACAGCAGTTTACAATTAAAATCCTTCAAAATATAATGATATACGCACATGGGAGTGTGGGTGTGTTTGTGTACGGGGAAGTGGGTGTTGCAGCTCACTGCCCTATTTTTATGGTTTTTCTTTCACAAGTTTTACTATCTTGCAAGTGCCTCTTGTGGCTATCATAGGTAAAGGTAAAGGTACCCCTGCCCGTACGGGCCAGTCGTGTCCGACTCGGGTTGCATGCTCATCTCGCTCAAAAGGCCGTGAGCCGGCGCTGTCCGAAGACACTTCCGGGTCACATGGCCAGGCCAGCGTGACAAAGCTGCAGCTGGCAAGCCAGTGTCAGCGCAGCACATGGAAACGCCGTTTACCTTCCCGCTATAAAGTGGTACCTATTTATCTACTTGCACTTAAGGGTGCTTTCGAACTGCTAGGTGGGCAGGAGCTGGGACCGAACGACGGGAGCTCACCCTGCCGCGGGGATTCGAACCGCCGACCATGCGATCAGCAAGTCCTAGGCACTGAGGTTTTACCCACAGCGCCAGCCGCGTCACCGTGGCTATCATATCCAGTTTAATTAAAGCTAATTGCAGAATCTTCCAAACACATGTGCCATCTTTCCTGATGACTACAACAGATATGAGGATAGTTTTTCTTGCATAACAAAAGAAGCTATGTATGATCTAATTGAGATTCCTGTTTTGCAGGGGGTTGAACCAGATGACCCCTTGGGGCTCCCTTCCAACTCTGATTCTATGAAGCTTCACCAAATATTCCAATGTTTGTTAGGTAGCATACTGAAAAGATGGAGCTGTCCATTGCTGGAAATGAAGATTTCAGGTGGGGAGAGATCTGATCTTCTTTGGCGATCCCTCGTAGCCGAGTAAGATTGTCTTCCATAAACACAGTTTTAACAATGAGTCCGTAAGTGACTGTGGAGGCAAATTCTGGATCCACACATCTTTCCACAGTGGGGACATTGGTTTCCGGACAGGAGTTGATCACGGTGTGGATTTGCCAAGCGTGCCTTCCTCTTAGCACGTTTCTCCCTTTCGTCCTGAGTTCGAGTGTCTTCAAAACCCATGACACCTTTGGTAAAGGTTCTCCAATTGGAGCGCTCACAGACAAGTGTTTCCCAATTGTTTATACTACATTTTTTAAAATTTGCCTTGAGACAGTCCTTAAACCTCTTTCGTTGATCACCAGCATTACGCTTTCCATTTTTAAGTTCAGAATAGAGTAGTTGCTTTGGAAGATGATAATCAGGCATCCGCACAACATGACCAGTCCAACGAAGTTGATGTAGAAGAATCATTGCTTCAACACTGGTGATCTTTGCTTGTTCCAGTATACTGGTATTAGTTCGCCTGTCTTCCCAAGTGATGTGTAAAGTTTTTCAGAGACACCGTTGATGGAATCTTTCGAGGAGTTGGAGATGGCGTTTATAAGTGGTCCATGTTTCACAAGCATACGGTAAGATTGGTATTACAACAGCTTTATAAACAAGCATTTTGGTTTCCCTGTGAATGTCCTCAAACACTGCACTTCAATTGGGAGAAAGCCACACTTGCAGAGCTCAGGCGATGCTGGATTTCGGCATCAATTTTGGCCCTTGTGGAAAGATAACTGCCCAGGTAGGAGAAGTGATCAACATTTTCCAACGTTACACCATTGCATTGGATTTGTGGTGCTTCGGAGGGGTTATTTTGTACTTGTTGGTGTATAGGATAAAGTATAGGATAATGGCAATGAAAATAATGAATAGAGTTGGGGCAATAACACCAATAACACCTGTTTAACACCTGATCCCACTGTGAATGGTTCACTTTGAGAGCCATTGTTACCTGCGATTGTTGCTGTCATATTATCATGGAGGAGCCGATTGATGTTCACAAATTTATCTGGACAGCCAATTTTCAGAAGGACAGTCCACAGGACATTATGATTTACAGTGTTGAAAGCCTTAGTCAGATCAATAAACGCCATATACAGGGGTTGGTTTTGCTCTCTGCATTTATCTTGAAGCTTTTGAGCAGTGAAAATCATGTCTACTGTCACCCTAGAAGGCAGAAAACCATTTGGGGATTCAGGAAGGGTCACCTTGGATATTGTTAAGAGACGGTTTGCTAAGATCCTTGCAAGAATTTTGCCAACCCCAAAGAATTTTTTTGCAATCAGTTCTGTCACCTTTTTTAAAGAGATTGATAATTTTGGCATCCCTAAAGTCTTCTGGGATCTCTTCTCTCTCCCAGATTTTTTTAATGAGCTTGTGAAGTTGTTCTGTAAATTCAGTTCCACCCACTTTTAAGACATTGGCAGGTATCCCATCAGGTCCGCTAGCTTTGTTGTTTTTCATCTGGTTAATAGCTGTACACAGCTCTCCCAGATTTGGAGATACTGCAAGCTCATCTCTAACTTGGTTTTGCGGAATTTGTGAGAGGACCTCAACAGCTACGGGGGAGTTGGGCTTAAGGAGATGTTGGTAATGTTCTTTCCAGTGCAGTGCAATAGCTTCTCTATCTTTTAGAAGTGTAGTACGTCTGCTGAGTGTAGGAGGCATATGCCATGATTTATTCGCTCATAGATAGTCTTTGTGGCTTTAAAAAAACTCTGTGCATCATGAGTGTCAGCTAAGTGCTGGATCTCTTGAGCTTTTTTTATCCACCATGTGTTTTTTAGTTCTCTGCTTCTTTGAACCTCAGCCTTAGTGTTGGCATAGGGTTTTTTTCTTAGTGGCACAGTTTCTAACTCTTTACCAGATCTGAAAGGCCTTCCTTTTCTTGTCAATCATGCGTTCAATCTCACTGTCATTCTCATCAAACCAGTCCTGGTGTTTCTTTGTTCACAGGCTGCAATAATGCATGTTTTTAGCTTGATCCAGTGTTCCTCAATGTTATCAGGGAATTCTGAAAACAGATGGTCCTTAAGAGTCGTTTGGAAGCAATCCCGCTTAATGGGATCTTGAAGGGCTTGAGTGTTCATTTTGCGTCGTGTTTTCCTTCCTCCAATGCAAGTCTGCATTGAAGTATAATCTTGATAGCCATTGTGGAGCGTATTAGTTGGTGATCTGTCCAGCAGTCGTCAGCACTAGTCATAGCTCTGGTAAGGAGCACATCATGGAGATCTTTAGCACGGACAATAACATAGTCTAAGAGGTGCCAATGGTTTGACCGAGAATGCCTCCATTAAGTTTTAAATTTATTTTTCTGTTGAAAGAGTGTGTTGGTAATAACAAAGTTGTGAGTTGCACATATCGTCAAAAGTAAGATTTCGTTCTGGTTGCTGTTGCCAATTCCTTCTTTCCCAATAGTCCCAGGCCACAGATTGAAATCCCTCCCAACTCTTGCATTAAAATCACCCAGGAGGATAATTTTATCTTCTTTAGGCATGTCTGATAGGAAGGTATCCAGCTGAGAGTAAAATTTTTCTTTAATGTTTTCATCTGCATCCAGTGTTGGTGCATAAGTGCTTATAATAGTAGCCTGTTGGTTTTTGGTGAGTTTTATTTGAAGGGTTGAAAGTCGCTCATTAATGCCAGTAGGGGCTTCTGATAGGAGCTTCACAAGATCGTTTTTGATAGCGAAGCCTACCCCATGTATTCAATGTTCTTGTTCAGATAGACCTTTCCAGAAGAATGTGTAGCCTCCTTTTTCTTCCTTCAGTTGTCCCTCACCTGCTCTTCGAGTCTCTTGAAGCGCTGCAATATCAGTGTTAAAATGTCGCAGCTCTCTTGCAATGATGTCAGTTCTGCGTTCAGGACGCTCGTTATCTGTGTTATCCGATAAAGTCCGTATATTCCATGTTCCAAAGTTCAATTGTCTTTCACAACTGCTGGGAGGTGACCCCACTGGGTGCAGTAATCCAGTCAGGGGAAAAGGGAGGCAGACTATGTTTAGGGCTCCTTTTCTAGCCCCACCCTCTTTTCAGGGTGAGCTGATCACTGAAGAATTGATGCTTTTGAATTATGGTGCTGGAGGAGACTCTTGAGAGTCCCATGGACTGCAAGAAGATCAAACCTATCCATTCTTAAGGAAATCAGCCCTGAGTGCTCCCTGGAAGGACAGATAGTGAAGTTGAGGCTCCAATACTTTGGCCACCTCATGAGAAGAGAAGACTCCCTGGAAAAGACCCTGATGTTGGGAAAGATTGAGGGCACAAGGAGAAGAGGACGACAGAGGACAAGATGGCTGGACAGTGTTCTCGAAGCTACCAGCATGAGTTTGACTAAACTGCGGGAGGCAGTGGAAGACAGGAGTGCCTGGCGTGCTCTGGTCCATGGAGTCACAAAGAATTGGACACGTCTAAACGACTAAACAACAACAACAACAAGCAACAATATTCCTCTATAACCAGCTCTTGGGTCAATTAAACAATCTCTGGTCTTTCAATAGTGTTTGTGTGTTGGCGGCAGCGGCGGGGGCAGGAGGGCTATTGGTTTGTTTCTGTTTTATCATGTATTTCGTCTCATTTTGTATTTTTATGTTCCGAAGCGCCCTGTGATCTTTGGACGAAGGGGAGCATACAAATTTAATAAACTTATTGCTAGGGAGGAGTGACAGAGATAGGAAGTTTTCTGTGCAGGTTTAGTCGTGGGTGTGCTGAGGTTGTCACCCACTCATAGTTGTTTACACGCGTCCTTCCTCCCGTATATTTCGGATATGAAGTAAAGCCCTAGTTAGAGGAAGTTCTGCCTGCTATTTGTTTAACCAGAACCGCTTCCCAAGGGAATGGCGGGGGACGGTGTGGGAAAAAGAATTCATGTGGTGGCAAAGACCTACATCAGGATCTGCTGGCCCAGTCCTGCCGCCCGAAGCAGATGCCTCATCTGGCCTCATGTATGAGCCGGCTGTTAACGACCCATCATTACTGGTGACATGGCCTCCCAAGGAGGCACATGGAGACCTGGGTACCTTGGGTGCTGACTCAGAGGCAAAGCAGCTTTTTCAAGGGCATGCTGCCACCTCATGCACCTCTGACATAGGTGGCAACCTATGACGTTGTTGTTTTTTACTACAAACAAGAGAATCAGTTTCAGGCTGAAGTGATTACCAGGGCCCAGTTCTGTACCTGAGTAACAGGGCTTCTATGCCGTTTTAAAAGTGTTTGTGCCTGTGTTATTGGCTTTTTTTGCTTTTGTGAGGTAATCTGCGTTCCCTTTTTGCCTTTTTTTTTTTTTTTTTTACGCCCTGTAATCTTCGGGTGGAGGGCGGCATTATACAAATACCACTAATAATAATAATGATGATGATAATAATAATAATTTAGCAGGGCGGGCCGCGGTCGCTTTGTACATCTCTGCCATCTCCACGCAGCTGCGCCGGCGCGAAACCGAGCCAACAGCGAGCGGGAGAAGAAAAAGACCGTACGACCAGCGGCCGTTTCTTTCCCTCACGACCGCTCCCTCCCTCCCGCGCGCGCGCGCGCGCCCCCGCCCCTCAACGGTTCGCCGGCCCATCCTTCAACCAAGGTCGCGAAGGCCAATCCCCGACCGAAGACGTCACCCGCGCGCTCTCTCCCGCCCTCCGGGCGCCAGGCAGCCAATCGTCGCCGAGCCTTCGCTCACGCTCTCCAATCGCGGAGCGGAGCCCGCCTCCCCTCCTCTGAATGCCTTCTCTAAAGCTCTGACAGGGTTAGCGAGTCAGTCGGCTGCAGGCTGTCGGCGGACTAGGTTGGGGTGGTCCTTTCTCTCCTTCGTCCATCGTTTCTTTCCCGCTGTGCTCCTCTCTCTCACTCTGTCGCAGAGATGTCCGGGGCGGTTCTGCTGGTGGCGGCCGCCGGGGTCGTCGTCGTCCTGGCCTTCCTGCTGCTGCTCTACATAGTGCTGCCCGTAAGCAGCCCGAAGACCATGCCGCTGTCTGGCGCCCACGTCGTGGTGAGAGCCCAGCCGAGGTTTCCTGGGGCGGTTTGTGGGGAGGAGGGCAGCGGGTAAAGAAATGCGACATCCTCCTGCCCTTCGAAACCTTTATTTCCATACGTTGATCTGTGTATCTCAGTGTAGAGGGAAATAGCAGCTCCCCCCCCCCCCACAAAAAAACCCCTCTTCCCCTTTCAAACTGCGCAAGCAAAATTAACACCGTTGCTGAGGAGAGATGTTGTCTCCTCCCCCCCCCCCCCGCCGCCAAAAAGGGGAAAAAAGGGGATTCAGGGATGTAGCGCTTGACTAGTAATTAGAAAAGGGTGTGGAAGGTCTGGGTTATGTTTAGCCTGAAGCAAAAGACGTGATTTTTTTGTTTGTTTGTGGGGGAGTGCCATTGTTTACAATTAGGGAATATTAGGAACGAGCTGGGTTATCTTTTAGATTTCCCCTTCCTGTCTATAGATGCTCCTGTTTAGAAGCAGACTAGTTGCACCCAAAAAAAATTTTAAAAAAAATCGTTAAATAAGATCTTCCTCTCTTTCATATATCTGTTTTATCTCCTGGGAAAAGAAATGTGGGCTGGAAATCTTGAATTAAACAAGGCGTAATCTCAATTTATGGGTTTAGTAGTGTGTGCTGCAAACTGAATGACATTTTAAAAAAGAAAAGAAAGAATGCTACTGCTTGGAATCAGTACCATATACTCATAGAGTTGGAAGGGACCTCTGAGGATCATCTAGTTCAACCCCCTGCATTGCAGAAATATGCACCCATACAGGGGTTGAACCCATGACCTTGGTCTGAGCTATACTAGTTGGTCTTAAGGTAGGGGGTGGGGAACCTGTGGCCCACACTCCAGCATCATGTGGAGGGGCACTGGTTCCTCTTTCCTGCCTTAAAGGGACACAATCACATACAAAATTGTGCTGATTGTCTTAATGTGTTATTCTCAGTACTGCCTACTAACAAAAGGAGGTGGAATTCGGGAGTTTACAATATAGATATTATCTCTGTTGAGAGAATAGAGGATTAAGAACCTGTAGCTCCTGGGTTACGGTTTCCGATGGCCATGCTGGAAGAGGCTGATGAAAGCTAAAGTCCAGCAGCATTTGGAGGGCCACAGATACAGATGTCCACCCTAATGTAGTTGAAAGTCTGCGTTCAAGCCAATTCATCCCCCCAGTAGTTGCTCTTAGTTGTGCCCTGTGCCCCTTTGGCCACCATAGAATACGGTACATTTTATTACATTAGACCATAGCACTGCAAAGCAAGATAGCAAAATTTAAACTAGATTACAGAAGTTACAGAAGTTACCTAAATTATATTTTTATATTCTCCTCCTTTAAAGTGGAGAGGATCCAAGGGGAGCTTGCCACCATAATTCATACCCCGTACAGATATGTAAGCTGGTACCTTCTCTGGACAGTAGAGAAGTGGATACATGTCACTTCACAGCAATCACATACCTAAAATGAAGCTCTATATGTGAAGCATGATTTGTACTATTTATTTTAAGAGGAACAATTCCATGAGTAGACAAATGACATCCTGTTATGAAGATGGAGACATGTGCAGAGATTCTTGATGTTGGAGCAATTGCTTAATCTGAGTCAAATTCATTATTGGTTCTTTGTTTATAATCTGCACAAATGATGGTGTGAAGCATGTTGTTCATGAAACTTATGTAAATGACATAAATAGTGGACTTACAGCCAAGCAATTTAAACATTTTATAGCAGGTCTTCGCCATTTTAGGTTTGACTGTGTCTGGATGCTTAACTGAATTTCTCCTTTCTTGTGCCTATCTTTTTATTTTCTCTTTTTCTGAGGAATTTTGTTCCATGTGTGCAATGGAAGAATCTGGTGTCAGGAGAATGTTGTCTTTGCTAAATTGAAGAATAGGGATTCTGAGTTGACCTTTGCCACTTACTGGTATGCATATAAAGTATTGACATGGAGTTATTACATAAGTAAGCTAATAAAGAGGGACGTGGGTGGCCCTGTGGGTTAAACCACAGAGCCTAGAACTTGCCGATCAGAAGGTTGGCAGTTCGAATCCCCGCGATGGGGTGAGCTCCCGTTGCTCAGTCCCTGCTCCTGCCAACCTAGCAGTTCGAAAGCACGTTGAAGTGCAAGTAGATAAATAGGTACCGCTCCAGCGGGAAGGTAAACGGCATTTCTGTGCGCTGCTCTGGTTCGCCAGAACCGGCTTAGTCATGCTGGCCACATGACCCGGAAGCTGTACGCCGGCTCCCTCGGCCAATAAAACGAGATGAGCGCCACAACCCCAGAGTCGGTCATGACTGGACCTAATGGTCAGGGGTCCCTTTACCTTTACTTTAAGCTGATAAAAGAATATGCAAGATTTTTAGTTGATTTGAAGAATTATTTAGCATGCGGAGCAGCTTACGTACTAATATCATATGTCTAATCATATGATATTATGATTAGACATATGGTACTCAAGACGAAACATGCTAAAAGGAAGGCATGCTTGGGAAACCCTCACTGTGATCAACTCCCGCCCAGAAACATATGTTCCCACTGTGGAAGGACACGTGGATCCAGAATTGGCCTCCACAGTCACTTACGGACTCACTGTTAAGACCGTGTTCTTGGAAGACAATCCTACTCGGCTACGAGTGATTGCCAGAGAAGAAGAATCATTTGTGATAAAGTTGCCTAATAGCAAATAAGCCTTACATCTATCAGAACTTGGAGGGTTATAGCAATCATGTTTAAAGGTAATCCTTTTATCCATAATCCTTCTATCCAAAGGGTTCACAATGCAGGTCAGTTTCTCATGCACCTTCTCATGCACTGTCTCTCATTCATTTATTCTATATCCTGTAATTCTTCCACTGCCTTTTGTAAGGGCTGAAACTGGCCCTGCAACCACTTATCTTCTTTTGTGGACATAAAACTGCACTCCCTTCTTACCAGCAACATCAACACCGCTATTGCCACTAGGAGGTGTGGTGGAAACAAACTGGAACTTCTTGTCTGCGTAGGAAAGAATTGCTGTGTACCAAACCTCATATTTGCATTTTAATGGCATCTTTTTGACATCCTTCTGTATCCTTGCACCAAATCACACTCACAAACCCTCCTTTGGGCTTGTGGATCTATGAACTTATTTTCCAGGGTTTCTAAATGGACATTCTATACCAAAGTATGGAAATGCAAAGCCTCATTCTCATCATTGCTGTTGCAGCAGAAGAAACCATTTTTGTTTGTTCTTCTAGCCAAGCATTCCTAATTCTGACTAATTCACCTGGTATCAACATACAAGCTCTTCTAAAGCAGTTGTACGAGTGAGATATTTCTAGTCACACAATTCTTCCCATAAGGAGGACTCCAGCAAAGGATGTCATTTGTTCTTATGGCTTTAGCCTGTGAAACCACTGGTGGATTTCCTTGAAAGTTTAAGCGGTATATACTTTTTAAATAAAATTTAAAATAACAGATGTGCTTCCTTTGAAATGAGGAAAATATTATTTTTTAGACTTGAATAGTGAGGGAGAAGAGGTCTTCTTGAGAGATGATACTGAAAGGCTGCTTGTTTACAGGAATGAAAGATTTTGCCACTTGTGCGTTTTTGATTGGATTTTCCATTGAGTGAAGAACATTTTTTATCCCAGAAGTTGCCTGTACCATGCTCTACAGTGGTGCCTCGCAAGACGAAATTAATTCGTTCTGCGAGTTTTTTCGTCTAGCGAATTTTTCGTCTTGCGAAGCACAAAATCCCATAGGAATGCATTGAAATTCAATTAATGCGTTCCTATGGTCAAAAAAAGTCCAAACAAAGCCAAATTTGGTACAACAAGAGTTTATTAAGTGCTCTTTAAAGTCACACATACTGTAAAGAGCATTTCAAAAATTGAAGGAACAATAAATTAAGTTTTTAAACATGACAGAAAAACATTTAAAAATCAACAAAGTATACAGTACATTTTCTAAGACTCTGGGGGACCACTCGAAGAAGGTTCCTCTTCCACTCTTTGCTTCTTGCTGAAGAACCTGTCCATGGTCTGCTGCTTCATCCGCCTTTTCAGCACCTCCCTGAAAGGCGACATGACCATCGTATCAAAAGTGTTCGCAAGGTCATGTGCCACGTGCTTGTTAGGGTGGTGCCGCTGTGCAAAAGCCTGCACATCCTTCCACTTCATGCAAATGTCCCTCAGTTCTTTGGAGGACAGGCGTTCCTCAGTTGCTTCCTCCCCTTCCGGCGAGGCCTGCTCCTGCGCAGCCTTTGCCTGCAGTTCGACCAGCTCCTGGGTGATCAGCTCGTGGTCGTGCTCCTCCACCAGCTCGCTGACGTCCTCCTCTGTGACCTCCAGGCCCATGGTCCTCCCCAAGGCAACAATGACCTGCACCACTGTTGACTCTGGTGCATCAGAGTCACTTGGTGCCACACAGTCCGGCCACAGGCTGCGCCAAGCGCAGTTCAAATTTCTCTGGCTGATCCCGTTCCAGGCCGTGGTGATCATCTTCAAGCAGGTGACGATGTTGAAGTGGTCCTTCCAGAATTCCCGCAGGGTGATGGTGGTGCAATCAGTCACCTCGAATCATCGCCTGAAAAGCTCCTTGGTGTAGAGTTTTTTGAAATTGGTGATGACCTGCTGATCCATCGGCTGGAGCAGTGGCGTGGTGTTAGGCGGCAGGAACATGATGTTGATGAAGCTGAACTCCTCCAACAAGTCCTCCTCAAGGCCTTTAGGATGAGCAGGAGCATTGTCCATCAGAAGCAAAGCCTTCAGCGGCAGGTCGTTGTCCAGCAGGTACTGTTTGACAGCAGGGCCAAAAGCAAGATTGACCCAGTCCACAAACAGCACACGTGTGACCCAAGCCTTACTGTTGGATCGCCACATGACACTCAGCTGCTCCTTGTCGACCTTGTGTTTCTTGAAGGCCCGTGGGTTCTCCAAGAGGTACACCAGCAGGGGCTTGATCTTCAGGTCGCCGCTTGTGCTGGCACAGAAGAGCAGGGTCAGACGGTCCTTCATGGGCTTGTGGCCAGGCAACTTGGCCTCCTCCTGTGTGATGAAAGTCCTTTTGGGCATCCTCTTCCAAAACAGCTCGGTCTCGGCGCAGTTGAAGACCTGCTGTGGAACGTAGCCCTCCGTCTTCACAGCCTCCAGAAACTCCAATGCAAAGTCTTCAGCCGCAGGAACATCAGAACTGGCAGCCTCTCCATGCCTGACCACGCTGTGGATTCCAGATCTCGTCTTGAACCGGTCAAACCAGCCTCTGCTTCCCTTGAAGACTTCTGGCTCCCTGAGGTTCCTGGCTGTTCCCGGACGAGGTCTGCGTGCAAGGCCTTGGCCTTCTCACAAATGTCGGCCTCAGTCACTGTGTCCCCTGCACGCTGCTTCTCTTCTAACCAGATGAGCAGCAACTTCTCGACCTCCTCCAGAACAGCTGGGCGGTTCTTCACGATCCTGGTGACTCCCTTGGCTGCATCAGTCGCAAGGATCTTCTCCCTCATCTTCAGGATGGTGCCGATGGTCGATGGGTTCCTGCCGTACTCCCTGGCGAGGTCTGTCACACGCATTCCACCGTTGTGCTTCCGGATGATCTCCTTCTTCATTTCCAGCGTCACCTTCTCCTTCTTCCTCTCGCCGACCTCTGCAGCACAGCTCCTAGCTTCGTAAACTCAGAAGAAAAAAAAAATCAGTGCTTCACACCCAAAAAATTCAAAAGCACCCAGCCACCCACCACACAGGAATTCAAACCCAGAACCAAGTCCTTGAATTCCAAACACCCAACCCAAAATCCAAAAACGCCCAAAAAGTTTTAAAAGTTTAACTTACGAAATGGCTGCAAATCACCAAAGTCTTCAAAATCCTCAAATGGCTGCAAAAGAAGTTTTGGAAAAGCTTTAAAAATCACCAAAGTCTTCAAAAACCTCAACTGTTCCCCCAGCCACCCACCACACAGAAATTCAAACTCAGAATTTTTTTTTTAAAAAAAAACAACATGGCCCAATGGTCACAGAAAATCATAAAAATTCAAAAAAAAAACCACACAAGCTCCCAGATTCTTGCAAACCCCTCCTCAGCTGTTCCCCCAGCCAGCCACCACACAGAAATTCAAACCCAGAATTTTTTTTTAAAAAAACAGCAGAGTGCCCCAATGGTCACAAAAAATCATAAAAATGCAGAAAAAAACCACACAAGCTCCCAGATTCTTGCAAACCTCTCCCCAACACCAAGTCCTTGAATTCCAAACACCCCAACCCAAAATCCAAACCCCTCCAAAAAAGTTTTAAAAGTTTAACTTACCAAACGGCTGCAAAAGAAGTTTTGGAAAAGCTTCAAAAATCAGCAAAGTCCTCAAAAACCTCAAAAAAGGCTACCCCACCGCGTGCTATGTGTTGCTCCTCGAAGTCAAGTCACAACTGCACCTCTTCAAGCAATGCACCCTGGGTATTAACGGTTTTACGAAAAAGGAAACAAACTTGCAAGACGTTTTCATCTTGCAAAGCAAGCCCATAGGGAAATTCGTTTTGCGAAGCAGCTCAAAAAACGGAAAACCCTTTCGTCTAGCGAGTTTTCCGTCTTGCGAGGCATTCGTCGTGCGGGGCACCACTGTATCATGTTTTTGACATTGTACAGGAATTGATAATCTAGCATGTGCAAAACTGGATCAAGAAGTACACACTGAACTAGGAGCCTCAAATCTGGCACTGCTTGGGCATTCTAAGAAACGACAACAACAACAAAATCAGCACAGTTTTGAAAGGTTCATTCTGCCATCTTATTTTAAATTGTGTCCAATTGTATGCAAACAGAGATGAGAATCTGTACATTGATCTCAGGAACCATCATGCAAAAATTGATTACGATATTTTTGGAGCTGTCCAGATGCATAGCAAACAAGTATCCAGAAGTAGTAGAAGTTATGCTGCCTGTGCTTTAACTTAGGCGAGTTCATTAAATTGCCAATTTACCTAAATTATGATCTTGGTATAGTAATATACCGGAGCTGAAGGGGTATGAGTTTGTTCATAGATGCATCTACCCCCTATTTGCCTTCCTCTACCCCCCCCAAAAGTAATCCTTACTGTGTTACCATGCTGAAAGTGAGCTGGGATGTCCATAGACAGCTTGCAGCTTTGTGATTGTGGTGGCAATTTCAAAGCAATAGTTGTGGACAGTCGTAACATTAGAAGCTGTCCACATGACACCAAGAGGCATCTCATTACTTACAGAGGGGAAACACTATTGCACACATGTGAACAGGCCCAGAGTTTGACCACTCTCTTCTCTAAAAGGCTTATAATTCTAATGTCTATGCTGTCAAGTTTATCAATTTAATCTATATGCTTCCCCCCCTTCTCTTAAAAGGTAACCGGTGGTTCCAGTGGCATTGGGAAATGCGTTGCCATCGAATGCTTTAAGCAAGGGGCTTTTATAACACTTATTGCAAGAAATGAGGTAAATTTCTAGCATGCTTATTTAACAGTTATGATGCCCTGAAGCTGTTAATGGAAGGGTTTGAAGCAACAGTAATTATAACTAAAGCCCTAGTATTTAATTAAATAGTTAAAATCCTTGGCTCCAATCCTACTAAAGTTCACCAAATTTGAAAGCAACAGGGCTTAAATTAGTGATTACTGTACTAATTTTATCTGGATTGGGGCCTATTTGTTTCTCCAGAATAAATAAATAAATGACTGTTAGAGTTTGAATACAGTGTTTGAGTTAGCGAGAGGATTAAGCCAAAGCCAAACTGCTTATTCTATTGGCTATTCCATTTATAACCATTTACCTATGGTTGTGGGGTGTGGGGAACCTTTTCTCCTCCAGATGTAGTTGAATGCCAACTCCTATTCCAGCAAGCATGGCCAATGGCCCAGGGATAAAGGGAGGTGTCGTTCAGCAACATCTGGAGCACCAAAGTTTCCCCACACCTGGCCTGTAGATTCAGAGGCACTCTAACCATTTCTTCAGGAAAGTGGAATATGAGCAGCATTCATGTTTTAAAAATTGTTTTCTGCTTTGCTAGTATCTTGGATATTGCACCAAAGCAGAGAGTAATACTCTCACTTTTTGCACTCTTTTCTACTGTGAACATCTGAAAGGGGAATTTACTTGCATATCCACTCTCTTCTGCTTAATACACTCAAAGCCATCCTTGGTTTGTTTCTAAAGTCTTCTAGTATAACAGAGTACAAAATATAGAATTCCAATTTTTGGAATTGGGAGAAGCAACAAGCTTTAAAGCAAGATTAATATTTAAGTCTTGCAGTTAGCTGATACATAAAATATTTGTTGGTAAGTAAGCTGAAATAGCTTTTTTTCTCTGTATTGTTTTGATTGAGGATGTGCTGCTTGTAAGCTGCCATTTATTTTATTCTAAGCATCTATAGCCCACCTTTCTATGATAAAATCAAATGCAAAGCATTTTACAGTTTACAAATAAAATAGAAGTCATTAAAATTGAAATTTTTTTATTGTCTGATTAGTTTTCAAGCAGCAGTAAAAGAAAAAAATAATAGAAACCAGCAGATAAGCTAAGAGCCTATCAAAAGGCTCAACTAAAAAATTCCACCACAGTAGAACACTTAACTGGAGTTTGGTCTTCAAGGCTGTGTTTGTGAAGTTAAAATGGTATGTGGGAAATTATCTTGAGCAGTGATAGCCAGAATTGCAGTTCTTCCATTTCTTAACAGGAGTTTGCATGAGGGCGTGGTGTCAGCAGTAGGCTGACAAATGTTTTTTGTTAAAAGAATTCAGTTACCTGCCTGAATTCTTGTAACTAGTACATGTGTGCACTGGGAAGTTTTACTAATCTTTACTTATCTTGTAATGCAATACACTTAGTATCTTGGGATGTGCTAGACTAAGAACTAAGTGTTGTATCCAGTGAAGTCATCCCATTAATGCAAGGATTCCCACCTGTGCAACAGGACTTCTGCATACAGTGGTACCTCAGGTTAAGAACTTAATTTGTTCTGGAGGTCCGTTCTTAACCTGAAACTGTTCTTAACCTGAGGTACCACTTTAGCTAATGGGGCCTCCTGCTGCTGCCGCGCCACCGTGCGATTTCTGTTCTCATCCTGAAGCAAAGTTCTTAACCCGAGGTAGTATTTCTGGGTTAGCTGAGTCTGTAACTGAAGTGTCTGTAACCTGAAGTGTCTGTAACCCGAGGTACCACTGTATCTCTTCTGCCTCCCAGATTTGCTCTGGAGGGTTGGGGCCACCCCCCTTGCAAGGGTACAGGGAGGGGGAGCAGAAGTCGCATTGTTCAGGCAGAAGTCTTTGTGCAGGATATCTGTATGGTATATAGCCTATTGGCTACAGTCATATACACACTTTTGTAGGAGTGAGACTCATTGAAAGCTTTACCCCTTAATTAGATATACACAGAATGGCACTGCATATGCCATATAGGCAAAGCCAAAGCAAACTTCTGAAAATAAAGTATAACAGTGGATTTAATTTACGTTGGCCGAAGCAGAATGTTGTAAATATTTATAGAATTGGCAGTAAATTGACCAAGTAAGATGGCAATTCCTAAATGCATAAAGCACCTAAATGTTTGCTGCTATACTGCATTTTTTTAAAGAAGACTTTCGTTCTGTCTATCTTAATTGTTTTAGCAGAATGTTCCAAATGTGCTTGTTTAATTCCAGTGCAGGCTATTGGAAGCAAAGAAAGAAATTGAGAAGTTCTCAGTTAATGATAAGCAGGTAAGATGACTATATTCTACCAGGTCTCTCAAATGTGTTAAGAAAATGCATGTTCTTTCTCTGACTTAATATAGAGCAGCAGTACTTGAATTACAAGTTATGGAGTAAATGTGTAGATAAGAGAAAATTGAGTAGCATATTGTGCCCTGTATAGTCATGCCATAGGTAAACTGAAAATTCCGTTTTAAAGAATTCTAAGTAATCCTAGACACATCCTGCAGTCAATTGCCTCCTTTGGGTACTCTTGTGTTGTGAGCTATAATGCTAATACTTTGATTGCAATTTAAGAAAAAGGTGGGGTCAGTTCTTTTATGGAAAAACTTATACAAAGCATGAAAGTGACATGACTTGCAATATTGAAGGCTGAAAATGTGCTTGATGTGCAATATTTAATGGTCTCTCTTTTTTCCTAAAAGAATAATTCCTGCTTCTGAAGAAGTTTGTCTTGCCTCTGGGGTATTATCAGTAGTCATTGGCAACAACGTAAAATCATTTCATATTAGAGTGCTTTTTAAAGTTCTGTGTTAGCTATGGTTAAATATGACTAAAATACCATGCCAGTTTTATGAATTTGGCTCAATCTTAATGTATTCTTGAGATATCAGTATCTTTTTCTTGGTGACTTTGCTGCCTTTTAAAATAAAGCTAATTTTTGCACAGGGATGATTTCATGTAAGCCCTAAAGATCAATATGTGAATGGGTCTTTGGCAATTTATTTTATGAATTTATATTCTGCTTTTCAGCTGAAGTCCTCAGAGCCGTTCCTAGTACTTAATAAAATGTAATGAATGTGTCAAAAAACATACACTTAAAACAAAACAAAATTAGCCTCACAAGAGCAAGCCCCAGGTGTTGTCTTCTCCTGTGCCTCTCTCTCTTGCTTTTGTAATGTCTTTGGGTTGTTAAACATTTCACTTCATCAGTCTTTAATTTTGTCTTAGGTTCTGTTTAATAGAACATAGGAAGCTGCCATATATGAAACCATACCATTGGTCCATCTAGCTCAGTATTGTATATGCTAACTAATAGGGATCTGTTCCAGAATCTCATATAGGATTTACCGGTATCTCTGCCCTGCCGGGAAATGTGAGGGACTCATGTTCTACATGCAAAGCAGATTCTATACTGCTTCTTTCCCTGGCATGTCGTGCATGCTTTATGGAAAACGAAGACTTAAGTGGCGGTAGAGAAAAGAAAAAGAATTTCATATGAGACTACAATCTGTTCTATAGCAGCCATCAACAAGGATGAACAGTGCAGTGTGGTTTCCTAATGCGCTTCTAAGCAGCTTATCATTGGGAAAGTATTTGTCACTGTGTGGTGCAGTTGTTGTTGTTTTTACAACACTACAGTGTCCATTAACAATTGCACCACTTCAATTCAAAAGAGGAAGAAGAACACTCTTTTAGAAAGAATTCGGTGTTGTTGAATATTCCATAAGCACTAGCTTTCCAACTTGCCAGTTGGAGCCATCCCCACCTCCTCTCCTGCGCGCTTTTCTGAGGGTTCTCCTTCCATACAAAAGCCAATTTTAGGGGGTGCATAGCGGGGCAGGAGTGGGAGGAAAACCCCATTGCACAAGTGAATGTTCTTGCACAGAATTTGTATCTGATGGGACTTGTTAGACGAGTTCCACCCATTGAGGTCAATTGAATAGGCATCCACATGGAATTATTGTTGTTATTACCTGCCCTTCACCCTAAGCTCCAACGGCAGGTTACAACATTAAGCACAATATTAAACACACAAAAATAAGGTGGGTCCTAAAAACATATACCTCAAGTGTCAAAGGCAGGGTAAAGAGTTGTGTCTTCAGCATTCATTGGAAGCTGAATTATTAAGGACTAGACAGGTTGTTCAGGCTACAGATGTCTGCAGACTTTAGACCAGGCTTCCTCAGCCTCGGCCCTCTAGATGTTTTGAGACTAGAATTCCCATCATCCCTGACCACTGGTCCTGCTAGCTAGGGATAATGTGAGTTGTAGGCCAAAAACATCTGGAGGGCTGAGGTTGGGGAAGCCTGCCTTAGACAAATTATAGCAAAGTGTCATTGCTATAGTCCTGTGGTGAAACCAGTTTAAAGTTGGCTTTTGAATCCTGACTTGTTTAAAAGCCATTAACCATAATTCTCTATTTGTACATTAACGGGAATTTGTTTAACTGCAGCTGCTAGGTTTGCTTCCCTGTTTACATGAAGTGAGGGAGCAAAGGGGCACTTCACTGAGTACATGAAAAAGTAATGCACATCCTGACTTATTAGAATTAAATTTGATAATTCAAAGCTCATCTGAAAAGTCTGAGCTAAATATTATTGCTTTGGAATATTAATTGGTTCTTCTCAAACTCCAAAGCAATATAATATCCCAGTACTTTATGTAGAAACAGGAACTCTACACTCCTCTCAACTAAAAGTGAAAGGCAGAGAAACATACAATGCACACGTTGAAATACCGTATTTTTTCGCCCTATAGGACGCACTTTTCCCCCTCCAAAAATGAAGGGGAAATGTGTGTGCGTCCTATGGGGCGAATGCAGGCTTTCGCTGAAGCCTGGAGAGCGAGAGGGGTCGGTGCTCACCGACCCCTCTCGCTCTCCAGGCTTCACGCAGCTCTGTGCAACCCTAGGGAGCCCGGCGCGAAGTCGTGCCGGTCTCCCAAGGGTTGCGCAGAGCTGCCTGCATTCCCGGGCTTCGCGGGGGGGGGGGGGGGGATTCATTATTTCCCCCCCCAAAAAAAAACCCCAAGGTGCGTCCTATGGGGCGGTGCGCCCTATGGGGCGAAAAATACAGTATGTCTCCTTACCTATGTTGCAAAAATAGTTTACTTGTTGAATTAAAAATTTGTCCATTTTACACTGTACATGTCAAATGATATGGTCCTTCTTTTCCATTCACATAGGTTGTGCATTATATCTCTCTTGATGTTTCCAAAGATGCTGCAAATGTGGAAAGGGCCCTTAAACAGGTAAGGAAATACTGGTTTTACCTGGCTGGCTCCCTCCCCCCATTTTTCAATTGCAAGTGTTTATTGCAGAAATGTTCTGCTGACAGTAGTGATATTTATAGACACAAATTTGTTATCTCACCTGTTTTTTTCCTTTCTTTCCAGGCTCAAGAGAAGTTGGGTCCAGTTGACATGCTTGTAAATTGTGCTGGAACATCAATTAATGGAAAGTTTGAAGATATTGACATCAGTAAGTTTGAAGTAAGTGAGCCTGGCTTCTCCTGTTTGAGTATGTACTGGTATACTAATTCATCGGCACCTAGAAAATCACACCAGATTGAGAAATGTTTTTGAATGATAAAATAATATATAAAATTTACCTAACTTGTAGCAGCACATTTTATTGTCCATTTCAAATAAATGACCTAACATTGTATTTTTTTTTTTCTAATCCCCCCATAGTTTTCCACTGGGTTGAATGTTTTATATCTGTGTCATAGACCCAATAATTCTTATTAGATATTTATCGTGTCTAAAAATGTTTGCTGCCTTTAAACATCTATTATGAAAGGCCTAATAATAATAATAATAATAATAATAATAATAATAATAATAAATTTATTATTTGTACCCCGCCCATCTGGCTGGGTTTCCCCAGCCACTCTGGGCGGCTTCCAACAAAGATGAAAAATACACTAAAATGTCACATATTAAAAACTTCCCTGAACAGGGCTGCCTTCAGATGTCTTCTGAATGTCAGGTAGTTGTTTATCGCTTTGACATCTGATGGGAGGGCGTTCCACAGGGCGGGCGCCACTACCGAGAAGGCCCTCTGCCTGGTTCCCTGTAACTTGGCATCTCGCAGTGAGGGAACCGCCAGAAGGCCCTCGGAGCTGGACCTCAGTGTCTGGGCAGAACGATGGGGGGTGGAGACGCTCCATGTTGTGAAAGAGAAGTTCTTCATACGCTATTGTTACATAACTTTCATTCCTTGGGTAATACTTGCATGAACCACCACATAAACATGAAAGGAATAATACTTTTTCTTGAATACTTATATAACTGCAAAAGTGTATACAAATTTAATAAATAATAATAATAATAATAGCAAAAGTGGGGCTCCCTAATTCAGCCCATCTCAAATGAAATGTTTGCTTCATGTTGACGTTGGTCCATAAAGTCTCTTCAGTAGCTGACTTGTAAACAGTTCACATAAAGATTAACTAGGCTATGACTCATTTTCTCCTTGGCATATCATAGACAGGGGAGATGCAAAGTGCTCATAATTTCAGCAGCATGCGCCAGCACACTGCTTATTCACATTATTAAATCATTATTTGTTCAATAATAATAATAGTTTCTATACTGCCCTTCATCCAAAGATCACAGGGCAGTTTTCATTATAAACCATAATAATAATATTATAATAATTTATTATTTATACCCCGCCCATCTGGCTGGGTTTCCCCAGCCACTCTGGGCGGCTTCCAACTGAATATTAAAAACAATACGTGGTTTAATGTAACATGTGAACCAAGCCGTTAATTAGTTTCAGAGGAAAAAAATTGAGAAGTGATTTTATAAAAGTAGAGCAGTTGCAAATGTCATTTTCTACTAGTTCTCTACTCGGTGCAGATTATGTAATTAGTAAACTGTTGTGTCTTAAATTTTTATTTACTGGATATAATTCCATTGCTTTATATATATTAACCGTTTGCTTGCTCAGTGTTCTCTATACCAGAGATGGCTAACTTCTGGCCTGCTGTAGGTTGTTGCCCTCCAATTACCATCATTCCTTACATGCCATGCACGCTAGCTGGGCCAGTGGAAGTGGAGTCCAGCAGCATATGGAGGGCCACAGGTTAGCCATCCCTTTTTATTTGGGTTCAATCCTGGAGACGCTGGGGAGCAAATTTGGGATATTCTGCAGGTAAAACATGTATTTTACCACTTAGCTGCAATGTTTCCCAGTTTAAAAGTTTGGCCACCCTTGTCCTCTCAGCAGAAGTTACACAGGAAATCAAAACAGCAACCACATCACAAAGGTTACTGCTCAACATCAAAGGAACCCCCAAGTGGTTGCCTTCCAGCATGTTAATGGACTATAACACAGCATTTTACAGCTTGGAAACTCCATTTGTAACATGAAGCAACATCGTCCATAGTAGGAATTTTGCACCTGTTGGTGATAAATATTAATATTGCCGATGCCTTGAGTTTAAAGCTGCAGACCAGCAATCACACTTCGTTATTTCATTTCATTTCCATTAATATTACACTTCATTAATATAAAATCTGTTAACTAGGCCTCCAACTTGTATGTTTGTCTACAGCAATTGATGGCTATCAACTATCTGGGTAGTGTCTACCCAACTCGGGCAGTAGTTACCACCATGAAGGAACGGAGGAGGGGAAGGATTGTGTTTGTGTCATCCCAGGCTGGACAAGTTGGACTGTTTGGTTATACTGCTTATTCTTCAACAAAGTTTGCTCTTCGAGGACTAGCTGAAGCTTTGCAAATGGAGGTATGATTCTCTGTTCCTTACCTGCATGTATCTTATAGTTTCTCTGTATAACATTAACAACAACAACAACAACAACAACATATAAACAAAAAGCTAAAACCATAGGGGGAAATAATTAAAGAATCAAGTAAACATTAATAGTATTATATAAGAATATTGTACAATACAGTGTTGCCCAAAAAGTACACAAGCAGGCTCAGCAACATTCAACACTGTTTACAAGGCATAGACTTAGCTATTCTGTTGCAATAAGTGGTACAATATTCCAGAGCGCATGACACCATTCGGCTCATAAGGCCTGTATTGTATACGATTTGCAAAACTGTTCATTTAGTAGGGTTAGTTGTCCACCGGATCAAAATGAGAAGTAATAGTGCAGGCAGTGTATTGAGTTGCTGTACTCTCAGATATTGTAGATCTGGTTTTGGGCAGAGCGTGCATACGCAAAATCACATAGAGCAAAGAATCCCCAGGATCGCCACCTTCCTGCCCAGCTGGAGCTCTAGAAAGGCAGCTCCCTCTTTCCCCCTCTGGTAGCTCTTTGTCCTCCCTGTGGGCGAGCCAGAAGTACAGCCTGGAGAGCAACTGCAGTGCCACCACTGCTGCCATTGCTCCCGCTTCCCACCAGGAGTGGCTGGGCCTGCCCATGCCAGAGGGGCACCCTCACAGTGGTTTGGATTTGCTGCAGCCCTTGCCAGCTGACAGTGTGGAGCAAGCCAGCCAAGCTGAGGGACTGGCACTTTATGCAGCTGCAGAACCGCCATGCACACCTAGTAGGAGTAGGAGGCAAGAGCCCGAGATGGCAGCAATGCAAGCAAGGCATGTGTTGTCTTACCCAGGTTTGCTTGTTCCTCCCCCTGCTATACTTCATTCGACCCTCTTCCCGCCGCGTATCTCCTGAGATCCCAATGAGAAGCTCCCTCCCAGTAGCGGCTGGTGAGGTGGCAGAGGCAGAGGGTCACTGCTCTCCTTGCTTCCAAACAACACGTAGCTTTGCAGGAAGGCCTTCTTCACCAGGGTGTTTCTTGCAGAGAAGTGGCAGGAATACTATTTTAAAAGGGCGAGATTTCTCCTTGGCTTTCTGCTCGAGATAAAAATAAGAGGCTGCAGCCAATAGTATAAAGTTGAGTTGCAGAAGCAGAGGTGTAGCAAGTTCAGGTGGTACAGATTTTTTTTTTGTCCCCCCCCCCATCTAAATTATTAAAAGAAGGGAAAATAAGATACTTGCAGTTGCAAGTGTTATTTTCTGGTTTATATACTTAACATTGTAAGCATAAGCACTTAAAACCCCTGCAGACACCATGGCTTCAATATCAGCCAGAAACAAATTTCTTCTCACCCACCACCCCATTTCTCTGTTCACTATCTAGCCTGTTGGTAGAACTTGAACTTTGCACACTATTTTGCGGTAAAGGTAAAGGGACCCCTGACCATTAGGTCCAATTGTGGCCGACTCTGGGGTTGTGGCGCTCATCTCACTTTATTGGCCGAGGGAGCTGGCGTACAGCTTCTGGGTCATGTGGCCAGCATGACGAAGCTGCTTCTGGCAAACCAGAGCAGCACACGGAAACGCCGTTTACTTTCCCGCCGGAGCAGTACCTATTTATCTACTTGCACTTTGACATGCTTTCGAACTGCTAGGTTGGCAGAAGCAGGGACTGAGCAACGGGAGCTCACCCCCTCGCGGGGATTCGAACCACCGATCTTCTGATCGGCAAGTCCTAGGCTCTGGTTCAACCCACAGCGCCACTCGCGTCCCTATTTTGCAGTAGATAGGCCTAATAATGGAATTGCCCTAATAAGGATGTGTGTTTTCCTTATGGTTCGGTGCAGCTCCCTTTACTTTTACAATGCCGCTTAAAACAGGTGGCTAATTGTGTCCCTCCAGGTGTTGCTGGACTACAACTCCCATCATTCCTATTGGCCATACTAGTTGGGACCAGTGGGGGACATAGTCCAGCAACATCTGGAGGGACACACGCTAGCCCCTCAGCCCCCCGTTTTAAAGCTGACCGTGTAATGCACCATATCAGAAGCACAAATCCCTTTCAAGGGGCCATTTCCCTCCCCCTTGTGTTTTTTCAAAGTATCTGCCCTGAACAACTCTGCAACTCAAACACTTGCTCATTCTTTTGAGACATTCGAGTTAGTCCTAATAAAGTATTGTTCAACTTCAGCTATTGGGCTGCTGTTGTTTTAATTAAATGGACCATTTCAAAAAGAAACTGATGTTCATAGGCTGCAGTTCTACACCTACTTTCCTGGGATGAATTCCCATGGAACTCGGTGCAGCTTACTTCTAAGTAGACATGCAAAGGAGGGCACAGTTGTTTAAGCACCATCTCAGCAGCTCACTGAACAATGAGAAACAATTTTCATGCTAACGTGAATACATTCTTATATTAATTCTCTCCTGAAATGTTGGATGTATGGATCTTAACTTGTGTTTTTTTGGGGTGTTAGGAGGCACTGATTTATCTCTTGGCATCATCCAGCTTCTATGTTTGAAAGACATGTTTGTTTGTTTGTTTTTTATTTTATTATTATTATTATTATTATTATTATTATTATTATTATTTATTATTATTATTCGTTCCTGAATACCTGGCACACATGGACCGCAATAATCATATGGACATAGAAAAGCGCGGGGGGGGGGGGGACATCTTGGTAGCTTTATTGTAAATATCCCTGCTACATAAGAATAGCCTTGCCTGATCAAAGGGTCCTGTTCTCTCCCCTCTTGTCCATCTCCAGCTAAGGCAGGGACAGTGGCGGAGTTAGCTGCATGGGTGCCCAGAGCCCATGCTGTGCACTTGGGGGGGGGCAATCCACTGCGCATGGGGGTGGCGGGGCAAGCCCCCATGGTGTGCCTTTTTGTCACCCTCCCAGGGATGACACCTGGGGCCGAGCGCCCCCCTTCCTACGCCCCTGTGCGCAAGTAAAATGTCCGTAAGATACAATCCCACTATATGCCTCTTTGTTCATATTACATTGTATATCTTTGTGAAAACAAGTAAGCATGGGAAAGCTCAATATATTAGAGCGTGAACTAAATATTTTTCTCATCCTAACAGGTAAAGCCCTATAATATCTACGTAACAGTTGCCTATCCTCCAGATACAGACACACCTGGCTTTGCAGAGGAAAGTCAGACAAAGGTAATTTTATGTTCCTCTTTATTGTCATGCAAAATACTTACATAAAGTAAAAGGATCAATAGGTACAAAACAAAAAAGAATGATCCCATGATGTGCTTAATGCTAAATCTAAACCTTGAGTATAAGTGTGTATTCAACTTTTAGTCACAGGAAAGGAGTTATATTGTGTCACTCCTTGGTATATACAGTGTTTCAAAAATTCTTAAACAATCTTCATTCTTGTTCGCATTTGTTAGCTTTTACGTTTTCCTGGTCTAAGACAGATATACCATATGATCTTGCTCATTGTTGCCAGATCAGTTTCCAAACTCATAGGAGGGACTTCTTTTTTTCTTCCAGTATTCACCATCTGCCTTCCAGAACCATATTGAATATTTTTTTACTTTCATTTGGTAAAATAAATTTTATATAAATGAGCATAAAAACTTTTAAATCTTAAGAGATGGAATATTCCAAAAAGTTAACTTATTAATATTTTATACAACATTATGACAATACTTGCTTGTTTCTGGGCATGTCCATATTGAGTTCATCCATATGGCTTTTTAGGTTTTAAAAAACAAAACCTATCTTGAAAATATTCACATAACACTATTTTGATATAACTTTTTTTCTTTTTCTTTAACTGATTCTATACTGTCTGCTGGTTTTCATCTCTATATTATTCTGTTAGTTGCTTTGAGTTACTTTTTGGGTTTTTTAAAAAGCAATTAAGTGCAGTTATTATCCACTTCTGCATAATGCCACATTGAATTGGTTTAATATTACATTCTTACTAAAATGCTGCATAAGCAAGATAGAAACCAACAGTGAACGTGTAGGAGACAAATATTTAAACTCAACTCACACTTTCCATGATACAGGTCTAACGTTACTAATTCCTTTGCTTAATTTCTTGTCTTATCCATCCACAGGGTAGCATTAGGTAGAATCTGAAGGAAAACCTCCAGCAGGTTCTCTGTTTCTTCTTAGTCAAATATTCTGTGCAGGAGGTGTCTCCTCAAAAGCTGCCCCCCCCCCCGTCTTTTCTGATGGGCTATCAGGGGTGGCCAACTCCCAAGAGACTGTGATCTACTCACAGAATTATAAACTGGCAGTGATCTACCCCCGTTTTTGGGGGGTTCAGGTCAAAGTTGTTGACTTTTTTGGGGAAAGGAAGGCTCTGTTTTTTGGGGGGTGCAGGGCTAAGTTGTTCAGCTTTTTTTAGGGAGGAGAAAAGCCCAGTTTTTTTGGGGGGGGGGGGTTGGTGAGAAAGAGAAACAGCCACTCACCAATAGATTGCTGGGGAAACAAACAACCTCACCGAGGAAACTCCGTCTTCCGTTCTGCAGATCGTGCAACAATGGAGGGCAGGGCGAGGGGCTGGGGCCGGAATGGGACCCAGTGATCAACCACGATCTACCAAATCCTCCCGGGGATCTACCAGTAGATCGCAATCGACCTGTTGGACATCCCTGGCTATAGCAAGTTAGGGCATAAGATCGCCATAGAAATCTTGCCAAGTAATTTCAGATGAGGCTTACTTGTTTGTCCTAAAATTCAGGGCTGATTAATAATCTAAACCTGGATCTCTTGTCTTTTTATAAAATGTTGTTTCTATTGCACCACCTTCATTTATTTTGAGGTTATATATTTAAATTAAAACTTAATGTAGGTTGATGTGGGTGGATGAAACAGGAAGAAAATTGTGTTAAGAGTCAACTGGTTGTGCGTTAATAATCAGTGTTGCATCAATCTTTTACTGTATTGCCCTGAGCATTCTTGTTGCACATTTAACAATCATACAGCAATAAAAGTTACCAAACAAAACCCTCCTACAGGAGATCTTCAGATTGTTCTTAGTTGGCCAATGTAATGAAAGTTTTTGAGTTTGCCTTTAATCTTGCTTTTGAATTGATGGTAGGACAGCCATATGCTACTGAGCTCCACATTCTTTCACATTCCTTGTTTCACTTCCTAATAGTTAATAGAAAGCTGGTTTGAAAACATGAAAGAAGACTATCCTTTTGTAAAAAAAACACAAAACTTTAATGGTCTGTGACCCTAAAGAATGTTGTCCCCGCCCCGAATCGTTTTTTAAAATCTGTTAAATGTTTCAGAGTGAAAGTATTAACAATTGAATATGAAGCAGTTTAGGGTGACAAAACATCTTTGCTTTTATTACTCTTGAGTAATGAATTGTCCAGAAGCCAGTTTCTGTCAACTACATCTCAGGATTTAGTCGAACAATGAGTTTCCACTTGACTTTCGGGCAGGTATGAGAGCCCTACTTGTGAACCTCAAACTCCGGAATATTTCCATTTAATATTGATCCTGTGTTAGTAAGTGATATTTAACAATACTAACTTAACCAAATTCCTGCCTCATAAGCCCCTTTAAGGCCTTTATTTACTCTTCCAGAGAGGACAGAAACAGGTGAACTGCAAATGAACAAATACCTTGATCACATTGACAGATACTAATTAGCTCAGTGTTTTCTAAGAGGAAGCAGTTTGACAAGATGAAAAAGGATGAAAAAGACAAACACTAGAACTCTGTGGTATCAGGCTTAATGCAAGAATAAATATAGCTCACATTTTTATCTTTTCTAAACATTTCTACAAGATCATATAGGCAACAATGCATTCCTTGAAGCGAAGTTTTATAAGCAGGCTCCTTAGGTAGCAAGAATTTACAAAGTTGATCTAAGCTAATGGAAATCATTTATAAAAGAGTTAGAGCCAATTCTCCTGGGAGCATAATATCAATTTATTTTTCTGTAATATTTGTGTCAGAGATACCTGCTGAATATGAGAAAACTGTGTCTCCACATAGAGTGTGTGTTTATGATAGCGACCAGCAGAATGTTGCATCTAAAATGTTGCACTAATTCTAGTTTCACTCTTCCTATTATTAAAGAAAACTGCATGTTCGCTTAGGATTTGCATTCACTTGTAATCTAATGATAAATATAATATCAACAAATGCAACTATAAACACACCTCTTGACCTGAATATTTTTTGTAAAAAAAAATGTCCAGATGGTCTTATGTTTCTTATCAGATGTGAGGTGAACTGTGGTTGTACTTGGTAACATTTCATCTGCTGTTATATGTATGTAATCTCTTTATTTACTTTTGCTCAAGATTTTAGAGACTAAGCTTATTTCAGAAACATCATCGGTCTGCAAACCTGATCATGTGGCCAGAATAATTGTTAAAGATGCCGTTGTAAGTAAAATGCTGTATTTGTATAAAATGCTTTTGTGGGTGGAAAACATGGGTAACTTGCCAGTTTATTATAAGGGGAAAGGTTGTCTGTGTTTGTCTACTACCTTTTCTGAATCCTAGAATCTTTATATAAAGAGAGCCTTTAGATACAATCCTAACCCACTTACCTGGGAATAAGTCCCATTCAATTCAGTAGGACTTATTTCTGAGTAGATATGTCTAGGATTGCACCATTTTAAACAGTGCCATCATTATACGTGGGACCTTTGCATAGGCAAAATTAGAAAGGGCCCTTCTCCCAAGGTTAGAAATTTAAAGTAGACACCAAATAAAACTGGGGATGGGATAAATGTGGCAGTTGCCCTTACATGTAATTAGTTATAGTTACAAATTGTCCCTCTACCTGAACTGCGTGCTTGCTTTGAAAGATGGTTTGTGTTAATGGATTTTGTTTTGTTCTGACTTTTTAAAATGGATTTTCAATGATGTTGTCATTTACTCTTTTTGTTCTTTTGTGTTTCTTAATTAAAGGTCACTTCACTTTTTTTTTTACTTAATATATACCCTCCCTTTGCAAATGTTGAAATATTATTACATGGGCGCAGGTTAAAAATGCATTTCAAATTTTAAATTAGTAGACTTGATATTCAAAAACTCAAGGTGCCCTGTTTCAACACAGGCTGACAGAAATGGCCTGATTCAAGTCTGGCACATGGTTCCTTTTAAAAATAAACTGCTTTGGGAGCCAATCTTGGCCAACAAGCACAGTATAAATAATAGTGGTGATTCCTAGGTTTCAAAAGGGTGGAATATAAAAATAGCTGTTTCTGTACCACAGGCATTTTATTTCACAATATTTTTTTTAAAAGCATGTGTCTGCCTGAACCACATGTATACCACTTTGGGATATTAGATGATGCAATACATACATATATATATATATATATATATATATATATTCATATTCAGACTACATATATATATATATATATATATATATATATATTCATATTCATATATATATATATATTCATATTCAGTAGGACTTATTTCTGAGTAGATATATATATATATATATATATTCATATTCAGACTACAGGTACAGTCTTGTCCATGCTTAAACAGAAACATGTACCTTTAAGATCAGAAATTTTAAAAAATCCTGTCAGATTTTTTTTTATATAAAGTATTAAACTCCTCTTGCCCCTTGGTAAGAAACACATCCTATTTTTATAAAATTGTTTGGAAACCACCTGACTTCTTTCTCCATTCCCCCCCCCCCCAATCCAGCAAGGAAAATTTGCCAGTTCTGTTGGCACAGATGGTCACATGTTAACAATACTGACTGGTGGAATGTCGCCTATCTCTTCTCTGGCTGAAGCCCTACAGGCGGTATGTAACAAAGTAATATCAAATGATGAAGTTTTAAAATCTTTTAGTGCTGTGGTACACTCACATTTATTGGTTCAATGTAATTCAAAATCTAGTCTTTGTGCAGCAGATCTCTTCAGTGCAGTAAGCTTACTAAAGTAAAGAGTGATCAGGAAGTATTCTACTTCTTGGCAGCAAAAGCTGCTCTATCCAATGAATTGTGAGATAAACCCACTGAGGTCCACATGTATTTATTTTGGTAGAGTTGAAAGGCGGGCCATCTTTTATTTTTGTTTCAATTAATAACCTATAACTTGATCATACCCAAAATGTTTCATTGAGCAATGATTCTTGCCCTATGTTTTTTTTTAATTGTGTCACATTTCTCTATTAAAATGTAAAGCTTATTTACTATGATTAAAAGCTAGACCTGTCTGTCAAAACAGAAGGTTCTCTGACCTCACCACCTTCTTCTGCTCATTCTCTGGGTGTTTCCCCAGTCATCTTGGGTTCTTTTCCCAGAAAAGATAACTGGGAAGGGGGAAGAACAGCTGTGAATTTAGCTTTATGAAAAGACAGGAAGCAGAACTACTCAGAAGGTTAGGTACACCCTGATATGCTTTGGCACACCTTGTTAATGGTGCAATCCAAATCAGTAATAAGACACCACCCCTAATCACCTTGTTGTTCAGTTAGACCAGAGCCAGTGCATACCCCTACTATCTGGGAGATGGATAACTGGGTTTAGGTCCATCTTATTCAGGAAGCATATCAGCTGCCAAACAGGCTAAAGCTGGTGTGAGATAACTTCCCAACCATAAATCCAGGTCAATAAGTACCACAAACACACACAAGATGCATGCCTTCTGCTTCAGGATTATAGTTCCATCCAGAATGATAATCCTTTGTCAGATCATCAGAATCTCTGACCTGCAATGCCTGTTTTAAGCTTCAGTATTCGGCTGCCTTTTGTTCATAGCAACATCTGTTTTGTTAACAAGAACAAATCTCTTAACTTCTTGTGAATTGGTTCACATGAAGTGCCAAACAATGGTTCTACTTCTTCCCCTCCCATTCTTTGTTTAATTAGTTCCTGGTTTGTGGCAAAGAATGTGCTGTTGTGTCCAAACTGAAAGACTAGTTTGTGGTAGGCTTGTATCCTAGAATGGAAGTCATGTGCAAACTGGAGTGTGCCTGTTGCAGCAAACCAGGAAAAATCTAAACAGAAAGTCAGATGTGAAAGGGAGAGCATGTGAGCGCAGAGCTTGCTCTTATATCACCAAGCCATAGTTTGGCATATATGAATGTCTTGCATCTCCTTAATGTTTACCTGCAGAAATTGCCATGTATTTCAGAAAGGATAACCAAATACATAGCTAAACTACTGAACTCATGCAAGTAAAGCTGGAAATCATACAATTTGGACTTGATTTTGAGATCAAGCAGCTTGCAAATGTATGCCTATGTTAAATTGGACTGTTGCTACCCATCTGGCAAATGTCTCCTCAGCCTTGCTGGGCCTGCTAAACATTCATTGAATCTGTTCATCATAAGGTTGTTTCACATTGTTTGCCTGTGACTTTTCTACTGGTTACCCATTATTATTCTCCAGGGAGCAATGCAACCCTAAATCATGTTCTCTTCTACAAATTTCAAACAACACTAGTCATTCTGTAGTCTTTTGCAGTGTTTCTGCTTCAGGTAGATTGTTGTGCAGATACATGGGGCAGGTGATTCATTCACTAGCTTCCAAAGAGGGGGAAAATTATTAAAATAAGGTCCCTTCCAACCATGTGACTATATTTCATAGTACTTTCAAATAACTTATTAATTTATTTTAATTAGAGAACAAAATATACCTCTCATAAGCTTTGTTTAAATAAGACTAATCTTTAATAGAACAGTCCTTTTTCACATAATAATTGTGTGCTTGGTGAACCACACTTCTGAGCATCAAATCTGATGAGAGAAAATATTAAATGACCACTAAGCAGAAGTATGTTGAATAAGATCTCTCCTTCTCTCCCTTTACAGCTTATTTTCCTGGGCTTTTTCCGCTTGCTTGCCCTGTATTATATAGCAGGTTTTGACAGCATAGTTCGTCGTTGCATGGCAAAAAAAGAGAAATCTGAAAAGACGGACTGAAACAGAATGGGTGCTATTTAAAAAGTTGGACAGTTTGCTGCTAAATGGAACTGTATCTGTGACCTGAGTATGTCTCACAGAAATGTGGAAGAGGTGATATCTTCGGTGGTGAAAGAAGGAAACTGAACTAGAAAAAGAGACTATGCAAAGGTGCTAATGAAGAAAACTGGGTTTTTTGGGTTGTTGTTGCTTTTCTGTGATTTCAAGGAATAACCAGATTGTTGCCTTAGAAGTAAGCTTTTTGAGAAGAGTAGAACTTAAGAGTGACCTATTTTGATGGTAATTCTGGACCAATACTAATTGTTAGCAGTGATGAAAGAGTTAATTCTGTTATCCACTTCTTAATCTGAGGACTGATTTGGTAAATTCCTCCCACACAACAGTAACACCTCAACTCTCCTACAGAAGGCCCAGCTTGTGTATTATCTTGATTATATGGTTTCTGCCAGAGAGCTGGACCTTGTAGGCCCTATTCTGCATGAGTTGGTTCAAATGGCTGTGCAAAGTCTAGTCAAAACAGCAAAAACTATCCAAAGATGAAATATTTCAGCTCTGGGACAATACATGAATTGGGCCAAAGTCTTTTGTGAAGAGACAGTTTTTAAATATAGCATATAAACTTGTTGAGGGGAGAGTTCTCTTTAAATGAGCTGCCCCCTCCTTGAGATAGGAGGCGATATTTGCATGTGGATATTACCAAGCTGGAGAATCAATATTTGAATTGGCTCTTGGGAAACCTCATTTGAGATTGAGTTTTCTCCCACCAGATTGTTGGATTTTGACATTCCACTCTTGACACATGTGGTGAGTTGTGTTAATATTGTGTTAAATGCTACATTAAGGAATTTCTTGATGGCAGAGCTTTACGCATATGATCTCTGCAGGAGAAATGACATATGCTTTAAATAGTTGTAGATCTTCAGCAGAGATCAAGGACCCCCGATCCTTACTGAGATACTAGGGGAGAACTGTAAGCAAAACAGAAGTTGTCCATTTTTTCGTTATCTGTAACACGTTCATGTTTATCTTTGCCAGCTCTGTAAAAGACAGATGGGCTTTAACACTGTAGAAATTGAAGGAGAGAATAGGGTGCTAGAGAGAACTAAATGTAGCACAAGGAAGTGCCTAGGTCCTTACTCTGAAGGTGCAGTGGAACTTGCAAAACTATATTGTTTCTAAGGTTTCATTCACAGCATGCCAATCTTATTACCTACATGAAATCTGGACTTACACAAAGTCCCTGAGTGGATTTTGGAAACCATATTTGCTGTGTATAAATTGACTGGTTCCCATTGGTTGCAGATACGCTGAACCCCAGTGTTGAACTGGTTCATAAAAAATCCTGCTACCCTTTGTCATTTTCCAAGTGCCTAAAAGACTGTTAAGAGACTCTACTTGCCAGTTTGTTGGTTAGCCAAGATTTTCTTTAAAAAAATAAAATAAAATAAAAAGGGAAACACTTTTTAAACTGCCCTTTGGAGAACATTATTCAAATCAAGTCCAGCAGCTTCTGGTTCAATTATAGTCTTCCAATTTTAATAGATTTTTAGATTCTCAAAATAGATGAAATCACAATACCAACTGCTTGAGATGAATACTATAGTAGTTATGTTTACTTGTTTTTGGTACAGTTACCCAGCTGTTTTGTAAGTAAACCTGGAAAGTGCCAATCCAAACAAAAGCACTTGGAGCATTGGGCGTTTTGAGGGGCTGAGAGGATTGCCAGTTAGAAGGGAAGGAAGGAAATAATGTAGAAATAATAACGGATAAACTGGGCTTGGTGTAGTCGCAAAAGCATAAAAACTTGCTTCGTATCATTCCGGTTAGTAACTGAGTCACAAAAAGCATCTTTGCATGTATGTCTTGCTACTGTTTTAATGGGAACTGTTGGAAGGAGAATTTGCTCTCCCTGTTTGCCATAATGCTTTGGTTTTCTAGACCTGCTAGGATAGCCCTTCAAGCTGGCCAACACACTTAGTTCAAATAATAAATTCTAGATCCTTTAAAGCAATTTGGACATGCCAAATAATCAACAGTTTAAAGAAGAACAAATCTCTTCTACATGTGCTTAATGACATGTTAACTTTCCTGTTCATTCTACGCCTTTACTGTGCTTATCTGTGGATGGATTATGCCCTTGGTTTCTTCAGTGTCTTGAACTAAAACAAAAAATTCTAATGTTATGGAGCATTATCGCTCATTTGACTCGAATACATATAATAGTATGCTAAAGGACAAATGGAAGTGGGTAACTAGCTTACAAATGTATACTGTGAAAAACTTTAGGCACTTTTAAATGTTAATATTGAATGAAGCTAAAACTCATAGCTCATTTATGCTTGCTGTTTCATGAAGTGTTGTGCCAGAATACTAAATTTTAATATTTTGTATTCACCAAATAAATGAAAATTGCATTTAACTTTTGTCTGTATATCTCTTCAGAATGACTGTGTTTCTGGTCTTGCTGAGTAAATTTAGTTCTGCTAATTCTTGTCACAGTACTAAGGATTTATAAAATATTTGTAAAATAGCTTGTACAAATTAGAAGCCTGTGAAGCTTCAAGGGGTGAGGGTGGAGGATAGAGGGTTCCTGTCTTCCAAGAAATGATGTTAACTCTTTGATCATTTTCCCGCTGAAAACTGCCTGACCTGAAGTTGCCTGCAAGTTATCAGAGAGGCCCACAGAATACCAGGGGACCCCATTGAGGGCACCCTTCTTGGCCCCCCAAAGTCCATACCTCCATTAAGGGATTCATCTGAATCTTTCAAATAAAGCCACGTTAAACTTCATGGCCACTAAGACCAAATATAGCCACTGTTTGTAGGTACTTTTTAAGCATTTGGGGGAAAAGACAACATAGCTTAACAAAGATAAGCAATCCCTATCTTTGTAATAGGCTTCAATTTTAAAAAGGCAATTTAATAGGTGAGAACAAAACATAAGCGGTAGAAGAAGCAAAATCATATTGGGAAAGATGTGAGTAAATGGAGTAGTTTTCAGTTGCTTCTTGATGGTAACAAAGAGGGGCATTCAAGGAAAATGTATGGTTAAAATCTTGGCCTAAGATTATAGTTGGTGAGTGAAGAGGGCAAGGAAGAAGACGGTAGGAGGGGGTAAATCAATGAAGATACTTGTTATAAATTTATTTTCAACTTATGGAACCACAGAAGCAAGTAAACAATAACAAAAAATCAATAATATACTGAAGGCAGTGTATAGAAAACCTAAACATGTTAAATAATAATGCCCAAATTAAAACAAACGTATTTCTTTAGATAGAGCAAGGAGAAAGACCTGTTAATATGAAACTAAGCTAAAGGAAATAACCCCCCCTCACACTGAGTAGAAATGATTGAGGGCTTCCTGTCCCTTAGAGTTGTGTGTTATATTTTATGCAATAATTTGTAATGGACAGTTATTGACTTACACTTGTGTGCATGAAAGAGTTCGCCTGAGCTCAGGTTGCAAATAGCTATGGCTTAGGAGGCTCTCAGCAGCCTCTGCTCCCTGCTTAAGTCTTTTTTGTGCTTCAAAAAGCCATGTGTCCATGGTTGTTTACACATGAACTGAATCTCTAACAGGAGATTTTCAAGGCTGCATCTTTGCTAATCCAAAAATTGCATGATCCTTTTTATAAGGAAACCAAGTGCTTTGCTTTTTAAGTACCTTTTGGAACCTTTTTCGTCTTTATTTTACTGCCAACAAATAGAGAGCTGTTTGCTGTAACTTCTGGAAACTGTGAGTAAAATATTCACCTATTTGTAAAGTTAAGTCTCTGTGATTTATTCTAGCCTAAGTATTTTTGTGGAGATTTTTTTCCCCAAGAGTGGATGAGGGCAGATGTAAATCTAATCAAGTTTCAGTGTTCTTGGAGCAATCACTATTGTGCTAACTCTGCTACCAGAGATTAAGAATGTCTCCCAAACCTCTCTCCAACAAAAAGTACATTCCATAGGTTTCTATACCATAAGAATATAGTCAGATTTTTTATTTTAACAGTTTCCACTGTTGTACTATAGAGATCTTGGCAATTGCTAGCATCTATGTCAAAAGTTCCTTTCAGTGAAATGTCTTCATAGTATCTGTTCACATCTTTAGTAGGGATAATTGGATAGAAATTTGAAAATATGTGTTAATAATCTGTGATATTGGCTGACAAATTTCATTCCAGAATAATAATAAAAAACCCCTGGCCATTTCCAGCACAGATTGGAACTGTTTGGTGATGTGTTGGAAGTAATATGATGAAGTAACAAAGATACTAAGAGATTCAACTGGATCAGAATATAAAATGTGAGAGAAAACAAGTGGTATCCTGTGAATCCTATGTAACCAAAGCAAAATGTTCTGGCCCCAACCAAAATGGTTTTGAGTTGTAATATGATCTACATTTAAATATTTATTAAACAATTTACTGCTTTTTTAAAAAGAATCTCAAAATGGTTTTAACAAAAAATAAACAGAAGCTTATAATGTCCCCCCCCCTTTTTTTTGGACTGTATAAAATAAGTAAAATAGATGCCCCCCCCCAGTAGCATAATTGAGTTGTTGTTGTTTTTTAAACCATTATATGAACTGCCCAGGAAATTTTGTTTTTTTAAATGAAGCATGGTAGTTACAGATACAGTCGTACCTTAGATCCTGAACACCTTGGTACTCTGACATTTTAGCTCTCAAACACCGCAAACCCGGAAGTGAGTAGTTCCGGTTTGCAAACGTTCTTTGGAACCCGAACGTCCAACGGAGCTTCTGCAGTTTCTGATTGGCTGCAGGAGCTTCCTGCAGCCAATCAGAAGCAACACTTTGGTTTCCAAACGTTTTGGAAGTTGAACAGACTTCCGGCACAGATTCCGTTTGACTTCCAAGGTACGGCTGTATTTTAAGTAAGTATTTGGCTGTAATGCTATATCTGAATCAGAATTCACATGGCAAACAAAAAAATAATGAATGGATTAGCTATATCTGCTTCCACAAATTCTGTAGTGGAAGAGAAAGATAG